TTGGCTGTATATATATTTTGTACGCTTCTACATGTTGTTGGATAGTTTAGTTACTTGGAGCTACTTGTACTAGCTCTGCTGAATGTAGAATCGAAAGCTAATCTGAATGGAATATTCTCCTGTCAAGGATGGTGACTGGTGAGCTAAAATGGCATAAAGAAGTCCTTCGAGCACATCATCGATAGGCTGATAGGTACAACCAACCAATGGGTTGCAATGGAGCCACTTGGCGTTATTTCTTCAGGATTTCCATCTTAAATCGGCCTGTGTCCGATTTGATTATTTCACAGTCATACTTAGGAATTGTTCGACAGCTTCCCCAGATTCAATTCTGTCATGGATAGGTTCCAGGTTGCACCTACTGGCTAAGGAGCAGTGTGTCTACCCCAGATTCTCCAGAACTTGTACCCCAGCTGCGACACCAGTAGCTTTCTACTCCGTACAGAGAAAGGAGATGCTTCTAATTCGCCTGGTACTGCAGAGTTGTCGACCAACTGATTCGCTGGGCAGCCAAACTTAGAGGGTGGTGGCACCGAGAATTTCGCCGATGCCCCGCCGAGAACGGCGCCGTCGCTTTCTCGTCTTCTGGATGGATTGGAGCCCTCTCTAGTGCGGGGAAATGGAATTAAGATTGAGTCAATAGACTAGAGAGGACTGATGATAGCCCGAGACCGAGTCAGTGGAGTGATGGTGTCATTTGGTGATTGCCTGCATTGCCTATAGTAGATGATATATAGGATCAATTTCCCACGCAATAGACATTTTGACGATCAACTGATAATATTGTAGGCAACGGAGCAAGAATGCCCTCTGTCGCAGAATCCATCCGAGGAGGCCATGAACAGGCCAGGCCATCCATCTTCCAGCCGCTGGAGTACTCTGGCAGCCTGGACTCGTTCTCTCATCTGGACTTGACTCCGGTTATTGGAAGAGAGTATACCGGCCTGCAGGTGGTTGATATTTTATCATCCCCAGAGCGCGACCGCTTGATTCGCGATCTCGCAGTCACCAGTACGTACCCCGATATCTCCGCATTGACCAGAACTGACAGCACAGTCTCCCAACGCGGCGTCGTCTTCCTCCGTAACCAAGATGTCACACCGCAGCAGATGCGCGAGTTCATGGAGAAACTGACCGTTCTCGCCGGATGCGTAAGCTAGCCCTATTTCCCAGTAACACCGCAGCGAGCCAACTAAACTGATACAGCCCGAATCCTCCGGCCTGCATGTCCACCCCCTCACCGAAGAAGGCAGCGAGCTAGGCGACCAGATCAGCGTCATCAGCAGCGAGAAACAGAAGAAAGGAGGCGGCCTCACCCACCAGCTCAGCGACACCAGCCGCTTCGCCTCCGTCGGCTGGCACTCGGACATCACCTTCGAGCGCGTCCCCTCCGACTACGCCATGCTCAAGATCCACACCCTCCCGCCGACCGGCGGCGATACCCTCTGGGCGTCGGGGTACGAGGTGTATGATAGGTTGTCGCCGGCGATGGCGACGTTCCTGGAGGGGCTGACGGCGACGCACGATGCGAGTTTCTTCCATGATGAGGCGAGGCGGTTGGGGAATCCGCTGCGGAAGGGGGTGAGGGGGTCGCCGTTGAATGTGGGTGAGGAACTGCAGGCTGTGCATCCGGTTATTCGGACGAACCGTACGTCTCCTCTTGATTTGGTAGACTGCTGACTGACGTTGGTAGCTGTGACCGGGTGGAAATCGGTGTATGTCAACCGGGGATTCACCAAGAGGATCAACGGGGTGACCAAGGACGAGTCGGACGTCCTGCTGCAGTATTTGTTCAATGTATGTTTATGAGTATTTCCCATGAGTGCTCGGAACTGACAAAGCAGCTGGTCACGCAAAACCACGACGCTCAGGTGCGGTTCCGATGGAACAAGAATGACCTGGCCATTTGGGATAACCGATCAACCTGGCACTGTGCCACGTACGACTATGCCGAGGCGCGTGCCGGAGACAGAGTGTGTAGTCTGGGGGAAGCGCCGTACCTGGACCTGCAGTCCAAGTCGAGGAGGGAGGCTTTAAGAAATGATTAAATGTATGATATAATGATGCCATGATTAATTTAATTTGCCATTATACTGAACAATCGATTCTCTACAAAGACCTGCTTTGTACAAGACCTAAGCATCCCATGGCTCCGACAGCCGCATATAATTCCAGCACACTGTGTCTACATTAGCATAACCCTTGACAGCACGAGGGAGCATACCTTTGTACGCCATATCATCCCCGAACATGGACGCCAGAATATCCTCGCCATCCTTGACTCCGTCCACCGGTTGATACGAAACCGCCGTCCTACCCAGACATAGCCCGATCATGGGGGGAATCTCCTGCAATTCCTGAAAGACAGGCTTGGAGGCGATGCACTCGGCCAGCATCAACTGGTGGATATTATATCCCGCATAGTGGCCCATGTGCATCGCGGCACCGCAGCGTTTGATGCCGGACCACGCGGCCAGGTCGCCGACGGCAAAGTGCTGGCTGGCATTGGGGATCGTCGACGGAAATTGCAGCCTGCGTCGTCAGCACTCGTCAACTGAAGGGAAAAGAAGGACGTACAATGGCTGAATCTTAACATGACCCTCGTCATCCAAGGCCTGCGACGGCAAATACGATGAGGTAGGCGTGCACCGCGACACCGCACTGAGGACATGACCCGCCTTAATGACGCGACCGTCAGCCAGCGTCAGACTCCAGACTCGCCCCGTCTTCCCCTCTACCGCGGCGGTACCGACGACGCGCTGCCCCAGGATGAGCTCAACGCCCGTCTCGCGAATGACCGCCCCCACGCGGTCCTTGAAGTCGTCCGGTAGAGGCTCGGCGGAGAGAAGACGGTCACGCGAGTGTATCAGTGTAACATGCAGCTGGGGATAGAGCAACTTGATTTCCGTTGCCATTTCCGTTCCGACGGCGCCTGTCTCGCATTAGCCTTGCTTAATCTAATGGGTGAGAACATACCTCCACCAACAACCACTACTCCCTGCCGCGCATTCACCACATCGGCAGTATTCTCCCTCACCTCCGCCAGAAACTCCTCCCGCGTGCGACTCTGCGGAACAGTAGGAAACACCCTCTGCAGTCCTGTCCCCGCAATGAAAAAGTCATACCCTTCTTCCCTGCTCGTCTTGCTCACCGAGTCGAGGATCGTGGCTGTCTTTCTCTGGCAGTCGATAGCGCTGACACTCCCCCGGATAAAGCGCACATGCGGCGACTGGAGAGCCTTGATATCTGCGAAACGCGTCCACGTATCCGAGGCGTATTGCTCGTCCACCAGCGCTCTTGGGGAGCCGATCAGATGGTCTAACTTGTTAGCTTAGCTAGTTTCGTGGATAGGGCAAAGTGCGTACAGAATCCGTCCTTCTCGTCTACCAGGGTTATGTCTACTGGGATGTGGTGCTGTGGTGGCTTGATCTCCGAGTCGTAGTTGAAGCGGGCGACTTGGCCGCGGGAGAGGTCGAGGAGGGTGAGGGCTGCGCTGAGGCCGCCGTATGAGGCGCCTGCGATGAGGACGCGGAAGCGACGCGCGAGGGAGATGAGGCCTTCGTTTGATGGCATGTTTTTTGCCAGCGCAGCGAGCAGATGACAAGGTGTAGATGTGCGTGTGGTGAATAAAAAAAAGGCTTTGGACTCAGCCTAGGTAAAGCAACTGTGAATATAGGAATCAACCGTGATTTGAAAGATTCGTTCCAGGAAGGATGTCACTTGCTGTCTCGGTTGACGGGTGCTTGGGTCTTGGTGATTACTTTCTTAGAGTACATCTATTCTTACTTCATTTGCGTATTTTAATCTTCTACTACACATCCATCACAGCCAGGAGAATCCTGTCCTGTACAACGCCATGGGATGCGATCCACACCCCACTTTCCGGCCATTCCTTATCAGATGAGCGAAATTTGTATGGGCCAGTCTCTTGTCGGCACAGCCAAGGCCTGCTATCGATACTGTTACGCAATCAGCCGGATTTAGGAGGGATTATGTAAAAGTACGGTGGCTGTAGTCCTCGGCTGGGGAATGTCTTCAGGATGTTATCTGATCCGAACCAAAACTAAAGTTATCTGATCGAGGCCGTGCCGTTGCCACACTTGTTCTGAAGTGAGACAAAGGCCAACACCCAGTAGAGTTATTTCCAGCTTTGCAAATGGAGACACAGGTCCGGCGCATGCTGTAACCTCTGCATTATGGAAATGCGGCATTTATCTGCAACTCCACTTTGAGGAAATCATTCCTGATTTGTCCTCAGTCCTCAAATTCAAACCTCCGAGGCTTGAGTCCGACGTCGCAATGCGAGAGACTAAGTGGGGATACTTTGTTTCTGTTATCAATCAATGATGGGTCAAGGTACATTTGAAAATTACAGACACACTAAGGTAGTGCAACCGTCAGCCTGTGATCGAGCTTCTTGAGGTGGGAATACATCAGTTAGGTATTGAGGTTTTTCTTCATCCGACGTAATACCAAATCAAACAGGTATTCTACCGTTCTACGTGCGCTGTAATCTTGAAGTGGCCTCCAAAGTGGCGTGTCAAACTCCAAGGGCTAAATTTTTGAAAGAATTCCTTGGCTAATTTCCTGCCTTTGTGGACATGTACTACGGTTTTTGTAGATGACCCACAGATCCGAATATCGGCTCGGCTGTGCATTATATTCTTCCGATGTTTACAGTAAATGAAGATGATACTCAAGGAGACAAGAATTATTAGTATTGTCAACGGAAAATTTAGAAATGTCTCACTTCCGGTATTCAGGCAGGATTTGGCATTTTGGCCCTGGATAATTTTGTTGGCTTTTCTTCATCAGATTAGATGGTCATCTAATCTGATTGTGCGGTGGGGCATTTTTCCCCTTCTATTTTTCCGCTGCTGCTCACCCGCTTCTATCCGGAAATAATTTCTATCACCTGGGTCAAATTTCGTAAAAACTGATGGAAAGAAGTATAGATAAAAAATTTAAGGGTATATACATTAGCCATCAAGTAAGACCAGTTATGTTTCCTTTGTTGCCATCGCCAACCGTCGCTCCAAAACACCCGCCGCAATCCTGCGTAAATCCACCTTCCGAACTTTCCCGCTGCCCGTCACAGGAATCGTGCGGTCGACTCCCTCCTCGCCAAAGACAAAGAAATACTGCGGTGCCTTGTGCCGACCCAGAGTTTCCCGCGTCCAAGCGCGGAGCTCCTCATCCGATGGTTTCGCGCTCACATCAGCAGCCAGCGCAAGGAAGGCCCCCACGACCTCACCGTATTTCTGGTCCGGGATGCCGATCACGGAGGCCACCTCGATGGCTGGGTGTGCGGCTAGTCGCTCTTCGATCTCGAGGGGGTAGATGTTTTCTCCGCCTGTATGTATTAGATCACATTTTGCAGTAGGAGAGGAAAAGTGGATACCTCGGATGATGATGTCCTTGAATCTCCCGGTGATGGTGCAGTATCCCTGCTCGTCGAAGATGGCCTCGTCTCCTGTCTTGAGCCAGGTTACGCCGTCCGAGTCGGTGACTAGGGCCTCGGCTGTCTTCTCCGGGTTGTTCCAGTAGCCCTTTGTCAATTGGTATCCGGCAATGCAGAGCTCGCCGCGCTGCCCGACGGGGACGATGTGGCCCTGTGCGTCGATGATCTTGGCTTTGGCGTGGGGCATGACCTTTCCGACGGTTGTCAGGCGGCGCTCGATCGTGTCGGTGGTCAGGGCGTTGAAGCAGGTGGGAGAGGCTTCGGTGACGCCTGTAGTTGTCAGCGAGTGTATAGATCTGGGGCAGACAGATGCATACCGTAGCTGCTCGTATACTCGGTCATATTCAACTCCTCAAGCAACCGTTTCATGAGTGGCCGGGGAACGGGTGCGCCGGCAATGATTCCCGTCCGCAGATTCGAGCAATCGAAGTTGGGTGGCTTGGGAATGCTCAGGATGGCCTCGAACATGGTCGGCACGCCGTGCAGGGCGGTGCATTTCTCGTCCGAGATGGCATGCAGCACGGCGGTCGGATCGAATGTTTCGCTGGGAAAGATGATTTTTGAACCGTGGGTGACGACCGCAAGCATGCCCAGCACTAGGCCGAAACAGTGGAAGAGTGGCGGCGGGCAACATAAAGTGTCGAACGAGGTGAGGTTCATCCGGTCGCCGATGAAGCGGGAGTTGTTTACTAGATTGCTAGAGGCAGTTAGCTACTATCACAGCCATGTTCTATGAACGTACTGATGTGTCAACATGGCAGCTTTGGGATTCCCCGTCGAGCCGCTGGTGAACTGCAGGTTGCAGACATCTGTAGAATGGAGCTCCGCTTCTCGGTCCTGCAGTGCATGACTGGGAAGCGGTAGGCCGCGCTGGATGACGTGTTCATATGTGCTAAAACCGTCGTATTGCCCTCGCAAAATGACAACTTCCTCCAACGCAGACGATGTTCCCTGCTGCTTCGGACGAGGCCCTAACTTGGCTAGTACCTCCTCGAGCGAATGGCGGCCGATGCGTGGAGTCAGGAAAAGGAGTCGACAATCTGCAGAAGACGCAAGTCAATCTCGCATTGATCGTCATGAAGCTGCAGCTGTAGTACATACCGGTGTGTCCGAGAGCATAGTACAGCTCGGACGGTGTATATGTATTGTTCAGCACCACCAGAATCGCCCCGACACGCGCAGCGGCAAAGAATAGCGAGATATACTGCTCGCAATTACCCGCCATAATACCTATACGGTCGCCCTTTTGAATCCCCATGGCCAGCAGGCCGCGTGCCACCCGGTCCGCTTCATCCTTGAGATCGGCGTAGGTCCAGCGAGCGCCAGTCCAAGGGAAAACAAGACACTCATGGTTGCTGTATTGCAGGCTCTGAAGGGTGAGAAGTTCACTGAGAGTAATGTCTAGTAGTTCTGGTTGGGTTGGACCTTCGATGATCGACAGCAGTTGGGGGCCCTTTGGCGGCTCAAGGTGCGAAAGAGTTTGTTGTAATCGTCGTACAGTTGCCATTATTTTGGTTTTCTATGTCGATCACAGACTACGAAGTCAAACTTCAGATACGGAACTGACCAGAGGAAAAATGTCTTATATTACTAGTACTGCCTTCAGCGAGGACATCGACGCGGCTGTCGCTTTCTCCGTCTCGGGTCTCGGTACTTAATGAAGAAGGCATGTTCATACACATCGTGGACTGATCCAGATCCTCCATGGCGTATTTTTTGAGCCCATGAGCACGTTTTATTGACACATTTGCGTAGAACGATGAGGAGGATTCGGTCCATGTGGCTTCCTTGAGGAAAGCTCCACTGTGCAGCCATGAGCCAATCTGCGCGAGAATCCTCTCATGGCCTTATGTCTCGCTTATCAGATTTTTCGCGTAAAGGCTTGGCAGGGCGAGAGCATCAAATCAGATAGATGAAGGGAATCTTGTGGGCCTGCCTTTGATCAGATAAGAATGTTCCGGAGCCGGTAAATTCTACGGAGTTACGGACTCGTTGTGTTGACTTCCTCGCAGATCAGTATGCTCCAGCTGTCAGTCTCAGATGAAGCTGATTCAATCCATCGCGGAGTCGATGCAGCCTTGCAGTTAGCAATGAGACCCTGTAACTTTGGGGCAAACTTACGCTTCAGCGCAGATGTGGTCTACCGATCGTGAAGGACCCGGAATGCATGGATTTGTCTCCGGGGCTAGACACCATGTTCCCACTTATCTCGGCGCTACGTTGGTTTTTCTCACGGGTATAAGGTGTACCATGTTGCGGTTGCTGTTTCCTTGTGGGAAGTCCCATCCCACCATAGGTCAAATCTGAAACAAAACAGGTTGTTGCTCCCAGCGGTAGTACAATTCAATTTCTTGTATTGAAGTACTGGGTGTGTAGAGGACATGTCCAGGTATTGCATGGCCATGGTCAAAGAGGGTAGCTGCGAGTGTATCCGAATATCTTAGAATAGCCCTTCAACGAGGGACAGTCACTAAAATTATTGAATACTTTGTCCAAGAAACATAAACTGGCGATAATAAATGCCAGCTATTTTGTCTGTTAGAAACCAGTTGAAATCCACTATAAAATATCATAATACGCTCGGGTCCAGTTTACGCGCAAAAAATTAATGCGCTGTTTTGCAAACCGAACAGTGACTGATGCTGTATCAATCTAATCAGATGATCTAATCAGATAAATGATCCCGACAACGGCGCAATCGGAGGATGCCTGAAAAAATGAGGTGCTTTTTGTTCCTGACGCGTCTTGGCGCGTGTCATTCCTCAGTCTGCAGGTCTCTCAATCAGCTGATCTCTGCCCAACATGGCTAATAGCATCCATTTCTGGCTGCCTTTTTGGCACATTATCGTCGTCATTCCTGTTAGTCACCATCGGGGACTTTCTTAGCTGCTGGAAATTCCCCACATGCTCCTTCTGCGCCCAATGAGATTACTGTAACCCCTCTGTGGTCCACTCAAAGATTACTGGCGAGGGGCAGTTCTTGCTCGGGAGGGACAAAAAGTAATTCTGAAGTGTCGATCTTCATGAAGCGGTTTCCTTTTCCCATGTCTTCAAAAGCCTCCGCGTGCCGCTGTTCTTCAGAGAACCACACCACATTCCACTGTGCGACTGATTTTATCCTAGGTGGGTGATAATTCCACCCGCAGTCGACTCAATCAATGGCAGAAACAAATCCCGCGGATGAGGGGCTCACAGGCCCGACGGAAACCACAAACCACATCAACGGCTCTCGCAGTGATGTTTCAGTTGGATCAAATCTGGCTGGGATTGTTCCTGTAACAAAGATACCTGCTCTAGACACTATCGACCAATATGCTGTCGAAGAATCAAGGGATGATTCAATTGGACAAAGTCCCTGGCAAAGGATCGGTGCCGGCGATGTTAGCGGAGATTTGGCGACAGGATTGATCGAAGGATACGCCCGATTTGTATCCGCACTCACTGGTCTCGAAGATGTTGCTTTTGCCATCTCGTGCCAGCCTTCGACGGGATCATCGCAGGCTCTGATTTGCGCTTCCGTGACCGTGACCGAACAAAAGCGGGAGGTGCAGTCAATACAGCAATGCGCAGTGCGTGAACTTGACTTTTCATACTACAACCGAAACGAGGTCCAGTTCGCCCTGGACTTAGCTTTGGCTGGTTGTCCCGAGAACAGAGACACAGATCTGACCACTGTCGCGGAGAGTAACGTGAGTATGCATCAGAAGTGTCAAGACGCAACAGCTAACGTATATGGCAGTGTCTCTCGTTGTACGTTCGGACTTGCAATGACGAACTCCGGACCAGTTTCACATATCCCAAACGACTGATCCCTGATGCAGCGGTGAGCCAGCTGCTGAAGGCGATTGCATTCCATATGAAGCAGTCCATTGGATGTCTACGATCCAGAGAAAATTCGCCGGATGACCAGACGCCTGACTTATCTATCCTTAATTTTCCGCCTCTGATGATACCCCCTATACGAGACGATGATTCTGCGCAAACGCCGCACGTTCCCAAACCATTCCTTCTTCATTCTACTTTCGAGGGCTGGGCCCAGAAACGCCCTAGTGCTATTGCACTAGATTTTGTTCATTCTTTGCCATCGGCCAGCTCTATCGCCGAGCATAGCACCCTAACCTATGCCGCTCTCGATGCTGCAGCCACCTACTTGGCAATCCATATTAGAAAACTCCTCTCAGACGATACGCGCAATAATCGTAATCGCATCATTCCTGTCTATATGTCAACTTCGCCTGAGCTTTACATCTCGTACCTCGGAATCCTCAAAGCCGGTTATGCATTTTCTCCCATTCCCACAGATGCTCCAGCTCAGCGAGTCCGGGAAATTCTTCAGGATATCAATTCGCCTGTGATACTTGGTAACGCTGAGGAACCGTTCTCCGGGTTATGGCTCCCAGACGCAGCCGATGAGACAATGTCAAAGCCAACCTGGGTCAATGTGGCTGAAGTCTCTAGATGGAAGCACCTCTCCGAAGAGCATGATGAAATTCCAACGGAAGATCGGTTATTTGAGCCTTCAGACATCGACCACAAGGACATTGCTTACCTTCTTTTCACAAGTGGCTCCACAGGCAAGCCCAAGGGCGTACAAGTCAGTCACCTTGCAGTTACCTGTTCAATCGAGTCCCACGCTACAGCCATCCCGCTTCCTGGCACTTCAGCTGGCGATTTCCGATGGTTCCAATTCGCGTCCCCGACGTTCGACCCGTCTCTGATGGAGATATTTGTGACGCTGAGTAGTGGCGGAACTCTCTGCTCGGCACCGCGGAGCCTGACGCTTACTGACCTGGAAGGAACAATCAACGAGGCCAGAGCAACTGTCATGATGGCAACGCCAAGTCTAGCAGCGCTTCTTCGACCCCCCCAACTGACTACACTCCAATCTTTGTGGACAATGGGAGAAAAGCTCAATCGGACAGTCATCGACAACTTCTCTCAGGCGCACAACACCGACCTGAACGGTGACTCTGTCCCGACGTCAAGGATGCTAGTCAATGCATATGGGCCGACTGAAGCAGCAATCAACTGCACATTTCTCGCGCCAGTCGAGTATCATACCCGTGGGTCAATCATTGGTGAGCCACTGCCCACATGCTCAATGTTTGTCCTCGACCCAACCTTCCATACTCCTGAACCTATCCCAGCTGGCCTTGCTGGAGAGCTTGCGATTGGAGGCCCTCAGGTCAGCCAAGGCTACTTGAACCGCCCTAAAGAAACCGCCGAATCCTTTGTCCACAGCTCTGAGTACGGATACCTCTACCGAACTGGTGACTTGGCTCGCATTGTCTGGGACGAGAAAGGCGCACAAGTCATTGAGTTTCTTGGGCGAATCACATCTGATCAGGTGAAGATCAGCGGTCGTCGGGTCGAGTTGGGGGAGATTGAGTCTGTCCTTGCTACCTTGGCTGGAGTGCGGGAGGTCGTGGCCGTGGTCCCCAAGCGTGATGCAACGGTACAAGGCAGTGAGCAAATTGTGGCATGCATTGTGACGGACTTACCTGGTGAAGACGCACTACGAGAATTTGTCCGATTGGCTGATGAATGTACACATCGTCATCTTGCTGCATACATGTGTCCGTCTTCCTATGTCTTCTTTGACTCAAGCCCTCGATCAAGCTCTGGTAAGGTCGACCGTAAAGCTATTGGCAATATGCTGCAACAAGGCGAAGATAGTGGTATAAAGTTCTTTCTCCCTTCGAACAAAGTCTCGGAAGCGTGGGAGACAGCGCCGGGTGACTGGGATGGGCCTGAGGATGAGAAAGATTTGGAGCTACGAAACCTTGTCCTCAATCTCATTGCGCAAACAACTGGCGAGGAGGCCTCTGTGATCAAACCCAACGCGAGTCTCTATTCGCTGGGCTTGGACTCCCTGAGCGCGATGCGATTATTACAGAAGCTGAGAGATCAATCCATCGACAATTTATCGGTGGGAGATGTACTACAGTCAGATACCATAAACGGGCTACTATCACTCATTCTCAATGGCAAAGGTAATCTAGAAGGACTCACCAATGGACAGCTGGCGGATGATCCATGCATGTCCTTGGCACAGCAATTGCAAGCATTCAGCGCCAGGAACCTCTTGACATGCGCGGGAAGGCTTGGAATAAGCCCAGAGAGAATTCAGACGGTCCTGCCCACCACAGCAACGCAGTCTGGGATGCTAACGAGCTTCTTGCGTACTTCGGCCGATAGTTCGTTTGCTACTCGGTCCTACATCTATCATTCTGTGATTTCACTAGAGCCCTTTGAGGACGTTGAGCGGCTCAAGAAGGCGTGGGAGTCGGTGATTGGAAGTTATGATTCCTTCCGAACGATTTTCTGCTGGCTTGACGATGACATGGCACCATTTGCGCAATGTATTCTCAAAGAAGATGTAGGACCAGCACCGAGCTGGGCTGTCTATCAGTCTTCTAGGGAGTCGATGCACAAGGATGTCTTGACCAAGGCCCTTCGAGAAGCCGAGGGAACGATTAGCCTGGACTTCCCCTGGAAGCTATCATTGCTTGACTCTTCAGAAGACAAGGTCATCGTATTGAGCATGTTCCACGGCATATTCGATGGGGGTTCGTTGCAACTTCTCTTGGAAGACGTGTCTTCTGTTTATAATAGACAGCCGCCAGCGCGTCGAACGTCGCTAGAGCATGTTGTTGTTAACCATTACCAAGCAAATCAAACAGCAACATCGAACTTTTGGAAAGAATATCTGAAAAACTACTCGCCAATTGCTTTCCCTTCGCTTACCGCCTACAATCCTCCAGCTGTTAAGTCTACAGACTGCGTCGAAATCACTGCTCGCACAACCCATGACATTCTTAAGCAACGATCCAGAACAATCGGGTCCACACCACTTTCTGTCCTCCAAGCAGCCTGGGCCTCTCTTCTACTCGCGTATAGTGGAAGCCAAGACCAAGACGTGGTCCTGGGTAGTGTTGTATCTGGACGTTTCGATCCTGACTCCGAAATCTGTGCTGGTCCGACTTTCACGACGATTCCCACTCGGTTGGCGCTTGGGCAGATTCCCAAAGCTGGAGGAAAATTATGGACAAACAAATCGGTTGTGGCTCATTTGGCGAGTCTGAACGCAAAAACGTTATCGCATCTACAACCGCGTCTCGGATCGTTAGTCACCGCTGATGGTAGACTTCCCTATGACACAGTTCTTGCCTACCAAGACTTCAGCGCCGGCTCCAGTACCAGTGGTCTATGGAAGACAATCGATCATCCCCCAATGGCAAACGATTACGCCGTGATGATTGAGGTTTGGCCTGCCGCAGACTCGTCATTGACCCTGCGCGCAAGCTTCGGTCTCTCTCAAATGGACCGCGACGGAGCCGACATGATGCTTCATCAATTGGACGACATCGTTGCGTTTATTCTTGAGAATCCGGATGGAGATTTCGAGAACGCTCTGTTGTATACCCGTCCTCACCTCAAGGCATTATACAACCCAATGCCGAAGATGGCCGATGAAGTCTCCGACGGGGCTCTGATACACACCAGATTTGAGGATCACGCAAATTCACATCCGGACGACATGGCGCTTCTATTCAAGTACGACCTCGATGATGACCAAAATCCGCAAAACATTTCATGGAGATACGGGGAGCTCAATGCACGGGCTGATAATTTGGCAGCGTCTCTTTGTAAGACCTACGGCCAATTGACAAACACAGTAGTACCCATTTGTATCGAGAAGAGTCCGGCGATGTATATTGCGATTCTGGGTATTCTCAAAGCTGGCGGCGCATGGTGCCCCATTGATACATTTTCTCCCGCACAGCGTCGGCATGATCTAATCAAACGGACTGGGGCTAGAGTGCTTCTCATTTCTAGCGAGCATGGAGAGCAACCAAAGGATGCCATTCCCGTTGATCTCGACGTCGTTGATGTTAGTAAATATGGTGATCCGCGGGTGAGTTGGCCGAGCATCGGCCGAGGCAGCTCAAAGAAGCTGTCCAGTCCGGCGGGCATAGCATACCTGATTTGGACGAGTGGAACCACTGGTGCTCCTAAGGGTGTGCCTATCACTCACTCAGCTGCGGTGTCCTGTTTCAAGTCGCTCGAGAAAGACATACCATCCGACGTTTCTGGCGGTGTTGTGCGATGCTTGCAATTCTCTCAATACACGTTCGATGTGTCCATCCAGGACATCTTCTACGCGTGGAGCTTGGGAGGGGTTCTGATCTCCGCAACTAGAGAAATCATGCTTGCCTCATTTGCAAAGCTGGCGAATACCACGCGAGCAACCCATGCGCATCTGACCCCTGCCTTCGCTGCTGGTGTCCCGAGAAAAAGCTGTGAAACGCTGGAGGTAATTACCATGATTGGCGAGAAGCTAACACAGCCTGTTGCCGACGACTGGGGCACAGATATGAGAGCTTACAACACATATGGCCCGGCAGAAGTGACAATCGTCTCAACCGTACGAGAATTTGGCAACGAGTGCATGAACGTCAAGAGCGCCAATGTTGGCTGGCCCATGGAAAGCGTCTCGGTTTTCGTCACGAGGAACCGGCAAATCGTGATGAAGAACGCAGTTGGGGAGTTGGCGCTGGGTGGTCCACAGCTTTCTCCGGGATACTTGAACCAAGAAGATGTCACCAAGTCAAAGTACGTCTGGAGCGACGAAGCTGGACAGATTCTCTACTACACGGGAGACCTTGTTCGGATGCTAGCTGACGGTTCGCTGGAGTATATCAATCGTGTGGACGACTTGGTGAAACTTGGCGGTATTCGTGTTGAATTGAGCGAGATCAGCTTCGCTCTCGGTGGATGCCACCCACGGGTTGAGAATATCGAGACGCTCGTTGTTAACCGCCCAGATCGGCCGACAAAGGTTGTCGTTGCTTTCCTCTCTGCACCGAATGCGGCTGAAGCCGATGCGGGCGACGGCCTTCTACTACTCAACGATGCTGCTCTCGAGATTGCTCTCTCTACACGCGAGAAGGCGCATACAGCTCTCCCTGCTCATATGATTCCATCCGTGTACCTCGTGGTCAAGAGGATTCCTCGCACGCAGTCCGCTAAAACAGATCGTCGCGCGCTGCAAGCTGCATATGCTTCAGTTGATATTGAAGACTGGGAGAATCGGATGAATCCTGAAAACGATGCTGCAAGTCGCCCCGCGGATGACCAAGTCACATCCGACGCAATGGAAAAGATTGTGCACATGATAGCATCGCTTACCAATATTTCGCCTTCGATTATCACTAAAGCGAGCAGGCTCCGAAGTCTAGGTATTGACTCTATCCACGCGGTTCGTCTCGCATCCAGACTCAAAGAAGCCGGTTATCAACTTTCTTTCATTGAAGTGATCAACTGTGTCACAGTACAGGATTTGATCCAATTATCCACATCTTCTTCCGAGGCTCTTGTACCGTCACCTACTGACTTTGATATTAACCTTTTCAACAATCAGTGGCACGACGTCGTGTCCTCGAAAGTTGACGACGAATTTTTCACCGTGCGAGCAACCCCGATCCAGGAGAGCTTGCTCAGTGAGACGATGGGTACTTATAACTTGTACTGGAGTAATCACTTCTTCTCACTTGACAGCTCTGTTGATGTGACACGGTTGAAACAAGCTTGGCTGGCGCTTTGTCAAAAGAACGAGGCCTTGCGAACTGGGTTCATTCCTGTTGCCATGGTAGATAACAGCTCTCGCAAGGATGAACTGGACTTCTCCATCTTGCAAGTTATCTACGATCACCCCACTCTCGATTGGGAGTATGTGGTGTGCGAAGAGCATGAGTGGGACCAATTGCTTCACTCTCGCATCGAAGGTGTCATGAAGACGCACCAGAAGACGTATTTCAGGCAGCGCCCCTGGGCAGTTACTGTTTTGGACAAGGGTGTAGACCGGGTTATGGTACTGACAATTCACCATTCTATTCATGACGGGCCTTCTTTAGATCTGATTGAAAAGGATCTGCGGTCTGCATATACCGGCAAGCCACCCCCCAGATATCCACTTAGGAGCGCGCTTTCCAAGGTCCTGTCGACAGAGGAAATGGCTGCCGGTACCCGGAGCTTCTGGAACTCTGAACTGCAGAAATTCTCCGAGCTTGATGCGCCCTCCTGGCCGGACTTGACCGGGAAGAGGACGCCAGAGACCGCCGCACAGGAACACAATCTTATCTCCGAGCAAATGCCCATGACGGAGCCTCTTGAAAAGCTTCAATCCATCTCAGCCGAGCTCGGTGTCTCCTCCATTGCTTCCCTCATTCGTGCGGCATGGGGTTTCGTATCGTTGAGTTACCTTGGAGTTCCGGCGACTGTGTTTGCGGAGACAATTTCTGATCGTGTTCTGCATGCTGACCTCGACAACGGCATTGGTCCATTGATTTCCGTTGTGCCAGTGCCATTCAATCCAACAGGAACTGCACGGGAGGTTCTCGCAGAACAGCAGCGTATCTCTACCCAGTCGAGGAAGCACCGTCATATACATGCTCGAGAGGTGCGCAGGATGCTCAAACGACCTCGTGGTGAGCCCTTGTATCCGGCAGTGTTCACCTTCCACCCAGCGGGTGCAGAAGCCAACGCCGCTACTGACACTGGTCTGTGGCGTCAACTTGAGGATCAAATTGGGTTGCATGTTGAGCACCCTATGGCATTCAATGTACTGCAAAATGCTGATGGATCCCTGATCCTAGAAGCGTCTGCTGATGCATCTCTCATGAGCCATGAACACCTGTCTATCTTTGTGCGCCAGGTCGACAGTCTCGTCGGCGCAATGTTGGGGAATCCAGACAAGGAACTACGAGAACTCGTCAATCAACTCCCCCCTTCGCTCAAATCCAAATCTTCGCAGCATGTGAGTGAGGCAGTTATGAACTCGGTTAACCTCAGCCCAACGCACTGGCTGGAGCTCAACGCCAGGGAACATCCGGAGTGGACAGCAGTTGAAGTGGCCAGCAGCATCAGCGCAAGCGGCGTCGAGAAGCAAAGTATGAGCTATGGTACGCTCAATGCTGCAGCGAACTGCGTGGCGGCCTTCATCGCCTCGCTGGGATACAAAAACAGAATGATTGCCGTTTGCGCGGGACGAAATCTTCCGTCCTATCCCGTCATTGTTGGTGTCTTCAAGTCAGGAAATACCTATCTCCCTATCGATGACAATCTTCCAAACGATCGAAAAGCATTTCTCATCGAGGATGGAAACTGCCCGCTTGTCTTCACCGAGTCCGCATTTGCAGCCACATTCTCAAATGTCCCCGGAACGTGCCGTGTGATGTGCATCGACGATCCCTCTTTCATTGATGCGTTGGCAGGCATGCCCACTGACAATCGGTCCTATGCAAGTGATCCACAAGACAATTCCTATCTGCTTTACACGTCAGGTTCTACAGGGAAGCCTAAGGGTGTCATGGTGTCGAGGGCGAATCTATCAGCATTTATCGAATCGTTCTCAGAATTCGTTTGTCGAGTGGCGCCAGCGACACTAGAGCTCGGTGGTCGAGGCCGGTATCTTGCACAGGCCAGTCGGGCGTTTGATGTCCATCTGTTGGAAATGTTCTTCCCCTGGCGACATGGCATGGCCTCCGTAACTGCTGCGCGAACAATGCTTTTGGATGATCTTCAGTTGACAATCACGAAGTGGGGCATTACTCATGCGAGCATGGTACCATCTTTGGTTGACCAGACAAACCTGCGGCCTGAACTATGTCCGGAACTCAAATACCTGAGTGTTGGAGGGGAGAAGATTTCGAAGAGAGTATTGGACACTTGGGCCGGGTTGCCGCATGTCGCCCTAGCCAATGCGTACGGACCAACGGAAGTCACTATTGGTTGCACTTTCGCCCATGTTGGCAAGGAAACCACCATTCGCAATATTGGGCCTCCATTGAGCGCCTGCACTTGCCATGTTCTGATCCCGGGCACAATGAACTACGCCCTTCGTGGTCAAACGGGAGAATTGTGTTTCACCGGCGACCTTGTGGGCAACGGATATCTAAACAGGTCGGATGCAACTGGCTTTGTGCAAGGCCCTGGCGGCGAAAGGATGTACAGGACCGGAGATATTGGTCGCTTGATGAGCGATGACTCTGTGGAATACGTTGGTCGAGGCGACGACCAGACCAAGATCCGCGGGCAGCGGTTGGAACTCGGAGAGGTCTCCGAGGTTATTCGCTCCTCTTCTCCTGTTGAGATCAGCGTAGTGACCACGGTTGCGAAACATCCCGGTCTCGCGAGACCGCAGCTCATCTCGTTCATTGCCAGAGGTGGTGACAGGAGCCGTCAGCGTAGCGGAGATGCCACCATAATACATTCTGATTTGGCAACCTTGGGCAAGGAACTCCGGGACGCCTGCCAGCGGAAGCTGTCAGCCTACATGGTTCCCGAGATCGTCCTGCCAATCACATATATCCCACTGGCACCAATGTCAGGAAAGGCAAATATCAAGCTGCTGCACATCATATTCTCAAGCTTGCCCCTGGCAAGTATTCTACAAGGAAACAATCCAGGAGCTAGCGACACTGCGGCTTTCACTGGTAGGCCTTTGACTTCCGAAGAAGAAGCTGTAGTCAACGAAATCTCCGCAGTGATCAAGATTGAACGTGAGAGTATCAATCCACTGACAAATATTTTTGAGGTCGGCTTGGACAGCTTAAGCGCAATCAGCTTATCAGTGAAGCTTCGGAGGATAGGATATGACGCCACCGTCGCCCTTGTGATGGGCAACCCGGTTGTCGAGCAGCTTGCTCAGCTCCCCAGAAAGTCAACCGAGGCCGCGACTGATCCGCACAGTTCAGAGTTGACGAAGAGACTCGCTGAGCTCGAGGCTGAATACCACCAGGGCAATACCTCGCCTGCAAATTCCGGCCAGGTAGTCGTACAACCATGCCTTCCTCTTCAGGAGGGTCTTGTCGCACGCTCCATCAACAGCGAAGGGGATCAGCTCTATGTCAACCATATTGCTCTCAAGCTCGATCCCGGTCTCGATTCCGAGCGATTAAGGTGCGCGTGGCAAGCTACTGCTGACAAAAATGAGATCCTTCGAACTTGCTTTGCTCCTTTGGAGAAAGAGATTGTTCAAGTTGTCTTCAGTTCTGGATGTCCAATGTCATGGACGGAATGCGAATACGACGGTCCCGAGGAATGCATTACACAGCAGAGAGCGAAGCAGCAAGAGATTTCTCGCGGCATCATCGAGGATATCACAGACGTCCCTCCGGTGCGATTCCACTTGGCAAGATCATCGTCGTCAAAACATCCATTGGTTTTGTTCATCGCAATTCACCACGCTCTCTATGACGGTGAGTCATTCTCGATGCTCCTGGAGGACGTTGCAGCGCGTTATGTAGGAGATCCTGTGATCCAGCGAGGCTCACCGGCTGCTTTCATCAACCATGTATATGGTCAGAACCTGGAGAAGGCCCAGCAACACTGGGTGAGCGCGTTGAGTGATTGTCGGCCGACAATCTTTCGTGTTGACACTGGTGCTGTAGAGGAGACTACCTTCGTTGACAGAAAGCTCCGTGCCGGCTTGGCTGAACTGGAACGCCATTCAGCCAATTTGCACACTACCGTTCCATCTCTGATGCAGGCACTCTTCGCCCTTCTCCTGGCTGATAGAGTTAACGCGTCCGACGTCACTTATGGACTTGTCCTCTCCGGTCGGGCTGTGGCAGTCCCTGGTGCGGATTCCGTGCTTCTGCCTTGCATTACAACCATTCCGGGTCGATTGAATACCAATGGCCTGACAACTGTCGCCGATGTTGTCGGGTCCGTTCACCAATCAACCGCCCGGTCTCTTGAGTATCAACACACCTCGTTGCGCCGTATCCAGCGTTGGCTGAAGTCGGAAAAGCCTCTCTTCGACTGCCTCTTCTCCTACATCCGTAGCACGCCAGCACCCAAGCACAATTTCTGGGAGCAACTCGGGAGCAACATGCCTTCTGAGTACCCCCTCGCCGTTGAGATCGAAGCGAATCATGAAAAGGATGAAGTGTACGTTCACTGTGGCTTTTCGGCGTCGTTCGGTTCGGTCGACCGCGGGCAAGAATTTGCTGAGAAACTCGACGCACTGTTATCAGCTCTCTTGTCTGGGGACGACATTGCGTTGGACAGCTTCAGCCTTGCTGGCTCTGGAGCTTCCGGTTCACGCGAAATTGAGGTGAAATGGGACGCAACAGCCTGGTCTACGACTGAGACAAAGATTCGGGACCTCACGGCTGCTTTCTGTGGCCTTGACGTGGTGAATGTGTTGAAGGGGACGTCATTTATCAGCCTCGGTATCGACTCGGTGACCGCTATCCAATTTGCACGGAAACTCCGCGAGTTGCAGTTTGAAGTTGCGCCGTCAGATATTATGCGCTTCCCGTGCGTTGGCGCATTAGCCAAACACATTGACGAGCGTTCCGCTGAGGGACGTCAGTCAGCACACTCGGAGGACAAGAAGCCCAGAGTCTCGCTTGCAGCTCACCGTGACAACGTTCGTCTTCTTGGTGGTGGAGATTCAGTCGCGGCAATATTTGAATGCACGCCTCTGCAAGCGGGCATGATCACGCGGACACTTGGATCTGACTCTCAGGTCTATGTTCATCCGCACATTTTTCGACTCGGCGCTGATGTTGACATTGATCGCCTCAGGAATGCCACTGCAGAGGTTGTCTCGAAAAATGATATTCTCCGTACTTCGTTCCACCCTATCACCGAGAATGGAGTGATCTGGGTCGGTGCGGTGCACACAAATCCTCCTCTACAGTGGACGGAGATCTCCTTGTCCTCGAACGCGGATGTAATCGCCGAGCTAACCTCACTCTACTCTTTCCGTGAAGTGGCCGATTTCGAGACTCCAGCACTCAGATTTGTACTCGCTGATCGCGAAAATGAGAAGCTTTTCGTTGTGCTCATGCACCATGCTCTTTATGATGGTGCCTCGTTGCCTCTGCTCTTTGAGGATTTGGCCGCTGCTTACCACGGTCAAGCTACGGCAGAGCGGCCTCAATTTTCCGAAATTGCCCACCACATTCTGGAAGGTCAGAATGACTCTTGCGATTTCTGGACAAAGAAACTGGCTGATCACGAGCCTGTCGAGATTCCTGCGCTCTCCCCATCCGATGCTACTGAGGGCATGCTTCTTTCGGAGCGCAGGATGGACCTTGACGTGGAGAAGGTAGTTGAAAGTTGCAAGGCCATGGAGGTAACCGTTCAAAGTGTCGCCCTCTTGGCATATGCAAAGGTGCTCGCTTGCCTGGTTGGGAAGCGCGACGTAGTCTTCGGTCAAGTTCTCGCTGGTCGCTCACTAGCAGTTCCTGGTGCCGACCAGACCATTGGCCCGCTCTTTAACACTGTAGCTCAGAGAGTCTCGTTTGAGCCTAGATTCTTGAGCAACCGTGAGATGGCCCAACGACTCCAACAACTTACCTCTGAGTCGCAAGTTTTCCAACATGCACCTCTGAAGGATGTGCAGAAGGCTCTGAGACAAGAACATGGCATGGATGCTGCCTCGCTATTCGACACACTCTTCGTGTTCCAGAAAAGTGCTGATCTTACAACTGCCACGCTGGCTGAGCAGCAGATATGGAGATCCTTCGAAACAGACGGATACGCTGCGCAGGCTGAACATAAACTCAATTTGGAGGTAGACCACGGTCGTGAAGCTATCGTCGTTAGCACCTCGGGGGACGGACGCTACATTTGCCAACAAGCCCTTGATGAGTTCATGACGGACTTCTGTACAGCGTTCCAAGACATCATTGATCATCCTACCAGATGCGCCACTGCTGCGCCAGAGCCGCTTGGGGAATTGCCTCTTCGATTAACCAAGGCTGGGAAGCCAGACCGAGATGACAGCGAGTCTGATGCGCCTGCACACGAGTTGATTGTTCGTGATGTCCTCGCTGAGGTGGCCGGCGTTCCAGTCGACAGCATCTCGCCAAGCACCAGCGTTTACAACATCGGTTTAGACTCGTTGTCTGCCATTTGCATTGCTTCCATTTGCCGAAGCAGAGGATTGAAGGCAAGTGTGGCTGATGTTCTGCAAGGAAATACCCTACGAGGTATCAGTTCACGCATCGTCTCAACGGTCGAGGAATGCATTCAAACTCAAGAGCCGTTGATTGAAGACTATAACGCCGTGGAAAATGAAGTTCTACAGCGGCTCGGGCTAAACAAGGACGCAGTCGAGACTATTCTGCCCTGTCTCAGTGGCCAGCTGTACCACCTTGCCAGCTGGTTGAAGTCCGGCCGGACCTTGTTTGAACCTGCCTGGTCTTACTACAGCACGGAACGTATCGATAGTGGGAAGCTTGAGAATGCGTGGGACCAGCTCCGTCAACGACATCCCATTCTAAGAACCTGCTTCGTGGCGCCTTCGCCGTCGATGGCCGTACAGGTTGTGCTCAAACAGGCACCACAGAACGCGGAGACCTTCAAGGTCATCGAGTCTCCCACATGCATTGAAGAAGCGGCAAAAGCCCAGGCTAGAGAAGAGGGTTTGACTCCATCATCTTTGTTTGTCCCTCCTGTCCGCCTCCGTCTTCTGAAGGCTAGCGACAAGGACGGAATCCAACTTTTCATCAATCACGCTGCATACGATGCATGGACAATGCCAATGTTTGTTTCTGAGCTCACACAGATCTACCGCGGGGAATCAGTCCAGTCAAACCCGGACTTCCCCTTTTTTGTCGAACACGCCACACGCTCTCTGCGACAAGTCGACGAAGAAACCTACTGGTCTTGGCAGGTTGGTTCCAGCGTTCCCACCATCATTCAACCCAAGGAGCAGGAACTACCCAGGCAAGCATTTGTCGGCGTATGGGAGAAGGTCAAGAACCTGTCTCAGCTGGAAAGTACCTGTCGTTCTGCAGGCCTCAGTCTCCAGAGCGTAGTCCTCCTGTCCGTGTCTCGCTGTCTCGCAAGAATGACTGGGGTCCAAACCCCCACAATCGGTTTGTACCAGACAGGTCGCTCCGCCTCGTTCAATAATATTGAGCGTCTCTCCGGACCCTGTCTAAACGTCACGCCGTTTACATTCCCAATCCCCGGAGCTGCGACCAACGCGTTGGACGAAGTACGCGCAATCCAAACCTCCCTTGCTGAACGCGTGCTCTACGAGCAGAGCTGCCTCCGCGAGATCCTGACCAAATGGGCTAGTACGAAAGGTAGAGGACCACTCTTCAACACCTGGGTTAATCTCCTCTGGATGCACCAGCCCTCCACCCGAGGTGATTCGGAACTCAATCTCTTCCATCCTCTGCGAATCGGTGTGCCAACGGACTTCATTCTCGCTTCTCCATTACCGGACCCGACCGGAGAGACTACCTCCGTCTCGGCGTTGGATACTTCGTACCTCCCTGATGAGAATTTGTATATTGATATTGGGCCTGATCCTGGTACGGATACCATCGGGTTTGGTGTCCGCGTGGAAGGGGGACTGCTGACGGAGGCGGAGGTGCGTGAGATGGTGGATGATGTGAGTGGTGAGATTGAGGGGATTATGGCTGCTATCCAGTTTACACGCTGAGATGTTTTGATTGTGGTTCTTTGTAAATTATAAAGAGGGCGATGAGGAGGAAGTTGAAAGATGGAGACTGCAGAAGTGCATTGTGTCAAGTGGACTGACTACATGTTCACGCCTGTATTCTGGGGGTGAAGAAAGCAAAAATAGACAAAGAAGAAGCATACACAATAGATAGAATTTAAATGTTTAGATGCTTGACCTGTCTGGAACAGGGAGTACAGCATATCTATATCCTTCGAGTCTTCTTTAATTGCGAAAGAAGAAATAACTCCGTTGAATCATCCTCTAATACAAAGGAGCATCTGCAACAATCAAGCATAGTACTAACTGCGTAGATCCATCTAGAAAACGCTATGTGTTTGTGTGTCTTGTTCACCTACGCCCTCGTGGCAGCGCAGTTTCCGTTCTTCCCATACATTCAAGAGCAACATCCGGTGACAGTCTAGATATTCAAATATCACATCCAACAAGCGAATTATCCTTCTCCCTGCAAGGTATCTCAAGAAATGTGGTGCGCCAATTGTACCTGGTAAACAGATGACGGAGCAGAGACGATGCATCCCGCGCAGACTTTGAAAATTCGTCCTCTAGCCTTTCGCGATGTCAACGATGAGTATGAATCAGACATGCAATGGTCGATTCATGCATCCTGCAACGGAAAGCTCGTGATATCATCGGGCCAAATCCATTTCAAAATATGGTAGAGCATCGAAAAGGGGTTCGGATTCCGTGCGGGGCAATGGGACGGTGTGCTAATCAGCTTGATGTCGAGCACACCAGGTTCAGTATTGGGGGGTCTGGTCACCGCGAAACAGTTCAAAAAGAAATAATGGTAAGGGTCTGGTACGCATAATGGAGGGGCCTCGGGTCGCAGTTCGCAGGTTGGAAGAAGCCTGAGACTGGCGAGGCGCCTGGTGGATTGGGATGAGAGAATGGTATTGAAGATGCTCTGCGCCAAGTGATTATCAATGGCTGCGTTGATGTACGATGCTCTGGTTTCCCGGACTTTAGCAGAGCCGTAAACGGCGAGATGGTCCGGTATAGACGAAGGATCTACATTGTCAGGAGGGTCACCTGCACTCGGGAAGCAATCGAGCTTTACGCAGAGGTGCACCAGAGAAGGAAAACGACCGAGTGCTTTGTAGACCTGTACCTCGGGAGCTAGACCCTGCACGCGATGGACAGTAAGGTGCAGCTCTCGGAGGACGGGGCACTTGTTCGCAAAACGGGCAATTTCCTGCGCGTTGTAGTATGGACGTGTCTGTCCCTGCGTGTGGACGTTGTGGTGAATGTTGCGTGAGTCTAGTCCCAGGCTCTCTAGGGTGGCACCGTGTCTGGACAAGACCTTGCTGATGAAGGATGCGTTGCGGTTCCCGACCAGCCAGAGACCCTTGAGCGGTGGCAATGCCTTCATCATCTCTTCCACCGAGCGCCAGCACTCGAGGCTTCTCCTGGGGGTCGCCCGTAGGTTGAGTGAGAGTCGTTCGAGACGCTGAAAGGACGGTGCAACCGCGCAGATCGTTCGAGCGAGGGCCGGTTCATCAATACGGCCGATGCTCAATGTACGCAGATGTCCTATATCGGTCTTCTGACGCCATTGATTGAAGCGCTGGACTGACATCGTGGTGTTTAGGGAGAACGACAAAGTTTCGAGACGGGCAACGGTATTGGATGCTCCATCAGTGGGCTCGAAGGCGTAGAGACGCTGGTCGACAAAGTCAATCTCTGGCACAAGTACGAGATCGACCTTTTTCAAATTTGGAGCCAAAGATAGCGAGCGCAGAATGGCCGACTCGATTACCTCGTCATTTCCGGCGTTGCGATAGTAATAGCAGCGGATCGAGTGGAGGCACGGCGAGGTGACCACGGGCATATCCCTATCGCTAAGGCCTTGGTATTTCCACGCTTGGAGGTAGAAATAAAGCAGGTTCAGCTTGCAGGAAGGGTGGTATTTGTGTAGAACGTCCAGGACTTCTTGCGGGAAGCGCAGAGCACGAACCCAGTTCACCTCTCGCAGGCTCGACACGGCCGCGATGAACCTGGCGAGCGGGGCATAGTCGGGGGTAGTGGTTTCCCTGCGACAAAGCCGGAAAGTGTGCCTTTGCCAGAGCTCACGATCGAGGAAATCATCGAGCATGATAGGTCCCTCTTCATCTTCCTGCAAAGCAGCTAGTTGGAGACTTTGCTTCCCGCTTCGCCCGACGAGGTCCAGACGACGCAGGTATCGAAGGTATTGCTTGCGTAGGGGATGTTCCAACAGCTGTTCAACGTCTGCTTGTAGTTGCACTGTCGTAGTGAGACATAGCTGCAGCCTTTCGTACAGAAAAGGCACGGCAGCCTGATACCAGGTATGGTTCGCAAGACTTAACTCTTCCAAAGTCTCCCGGCTGGTTTCCATGGCCTAGATGCCTTATGTCAGTGGGCGCATTCATTGAGGAAATGGAAGACTTACTGATGCACATATCATGTGCTTGATCTCTAAGGGAAGCTGATCCATATTTGAGCATCTGGGAGATGAAAGAAGGAAGGAGAAATGATGTTTAGTGATCTGCCTTTTATATCAGAGAATGTCAAGAGGGAGTGAAGCAGTACGCACTTTTTCGCATCCTTACACAGTTGTCCATACCTTACACGCTCATGTACCTTGAATTCCTTCTTCACATCCTCTCGCCCTCTTTATTTTGCTGATATGACTCTTGTATCTACTCTTCACCTCCCTTCACACACCCCTGATGAGGTGAACGCAGCTTTGGTATAAAGCCTGCACTAGAGCGGCATCAAGCTTGAGAAGTCACTGAGAATAATACCACAGAGCTACTTAGATGTAGGCTTACCACGGTTGTGAACAACAGGGAAGCTTCTCAAAACAGAGGCAATGTACTGGAAGGATAGACTGATTTTGACGACGTGCCTTCCGTAGCATCCCCACCAAGTCTGTATCAGGAGTGACTGAACTCTCCCACGGCCTTGGATTGAAGCTAGTATTTCGCTTTTGGGTGCGTTCCTCTACGGTTTAGAGCTCCTGTCAAACCTAGAGAATTGATACTAATCACATTGTCCGGACATATCGTAGCCTCAATGCTTCTTCTGAAAATACAAGTAGCTTCGCCAAATAAAGTGCAATATGTAATAGACGCTATGCCTAGCTACACTAGAGAACTACCAATTTGAGCCAGGTATCGCCGTATCCACATTATCTAGCAATGGGCAACGCTGGGAACATTCATGCAGCTACCGTAGGTCTTGCCGCCGGTCACATCGACGCTCGTCCAGGTCCAATTCGAGCAGGCCCCACTGCCACAGACAATAGCGATATTGTACCCGGTTGACGCAACAGCGCCTGCACCACTGATGTTCTTGACGACCAGGTTGGTGATGGGGATGCCGGACGTGGGGGTGCCCTTGAGATCGCCGCCGCTGTAGTTCTGTTCGATGAGGACGCCGTACCTTGATGGTGTTAGCTTGAATTACTGTCTGGTGTACAAATAAGCCGGGGGAACTGACTTGCGGATGGAGCTCAGGGTGATTCCCGAGTAGGTCACTCCGTCGATTGTACCGGTGTCCCCTGCGGTGGCCTTGACGCGGATACCTGTGCCATATTTAGAAGGGTACTCCTCTTGATACACCGGGATGATATGAACGTACCGTTGTCAGACTTCGTGACCTGGGAGTTCGTAAAGGAAACGTTCTGGACGGTATTATCGGATCGGCCACCAACGCTGCCGATCGACAGGCCATGACCGCCGGAGCAGAGCCCATTGGTAAAGGTGATACCCGTGCCAGAGTTGACAGCGACACAGTCGTCCTGGTTGTAGACCTTCGCGCCTGTAATGACAACGTTGGAGCTGGATCCAATATCGAAGCCGTCGGTGTTGTGGCCACCTTGGGTGTCACCGGCGGAATCGTCAATCGTCATGTCGGTGATGGTCAAGCCATTGCATCCGTTGATGCTGACCGCCTGAAGGGGGGTGTTCAGGATGTGCAGATTGGTGATGGACGACGAGGTGAGATCGTGCGCGGCGAAGAACTTGGGCTTCGTCACGGGGCCGCTGCCGCCCAGGCCGTCCCACCAGCGGGCGCCGTCGGGGTTCAGCGTCGCACCCGACGCACCCTCCACCTTGATGTTTGTGCCGGATATCTGCAGCAGGGGGCCGGACCACTCCTCGTAGCCCCAGGTGGTCTCGCCCTCAAAGATGACCTAACGTAATCAGACCATTGTCTAGATGGATGCGGGGGTTGATAGCAGAGATGGGGTTCCTACTGTGGTACCATCTGCCAGCTTGCTGAGATCTAGCGTCGTGCCAGCGGGAACAGCAACGTCCGACAGAACGATAGTAGAGCAAGCCGTCTGAGAGGCCATCGCAGAAGCGGCGCCGGTGGACCCGGAGAACGTGCAAGTCGCGCGCTTCTCGAGAGTCCTGGATGGCGCCATAACTGGCTCGGCGACGGGAGAGGCAATCACCTCAGCCGCAGAGGCGAGGAGCACGACAGAACCGATTAATTTAAACATTATGATGGCAATTGCACCAAGGAAGAGCTTTGTTGATGGTTTGCAGGCAATCACTGCTTCCTCTGGTCGTTGATCCTTATATACGGAATGCCACGCCTATACCTGGTGACCTCGTCTCCGGCATTGGTGAAGAGCTCTAGTGCCCCTCTAGGCTGTAAAGACGAGCTGTTCATCGTTTCTCCTCCAATACCTCATCACAGCGCTACTCTGGCCCTTCTCCATTGGTGGTAAATATATTCCTGCAGAAATGAAACAACACCCTAAGCAATATGAAGAAAGCTTGTTAAGGCGGAAGAAAAGCACAAGCATTTCCGTGCAGCTGCTTGCGTCTGGGGAAATGTGGAGAGCAACCAATTCAAAACAGAACAATGCGGCCATGTAATGCACTTCATAACATCAATATTCAGGGTCTTTTGACCCCTGACGGCTGCCTCGGTGTCTTGGCTGACCCCAACGTCATTTACCCCATACCGGCTAATGTCGCTCTTTTTTTTTTTTTCCACCACTCGATTTGCCGTGCGGAGTCGGCAAATTTCCCCTTGCAGAAAGGAAGCCTAGTCTAACATTATTAGCCTAATGGAAGGGGCTTAATGCGCCTTCTCAGCACGAATATGCACGTAGCCTAATAGCCCGTAGCGAATTGGTAATACTAAGGTAGCCTAGCAGACCTATACAGGGCCTGACGGTATTCATTTCCGTGCCTCATTTGGCTAGAAACTTCCACCTAAAAATGATTATAATAAATCCACTACAGATCTAAACTTGAAGCCTGCCAAACATCATGATGATAAAAAAAGATTTCCCAGACTACAGTCGGTTGTATACTATTCTAATCCAGCTCCAACCTCAGAGCGTCGTACTGCACATACACGGTCCCCGGTAGAATGGCAGTCTCCGTATCCGTCGCGTTGTACGGCAGATGAAGAGTCAAGGTATTCTCACCGACCTTGAGCCAGTCCGCAGGGAACTCCATCCGTGAGCGGACCTGGTAGCAGCTGACCGCAGAGCGCACAATACAGCTGCTCGACTGGTTGAAGCCAATAACGAAGGAGAGAGGCTCCTTCTGGTCATTGATGTAGCTCTCATGGGAGAGGTTGATGTACGGTTCTGCGGGATTGTACACATCCGTGTTGCCCGAGGCAGTCTTGGCACCGGCAAGCTGGATGGTCAGGGTAGCCTTCTTGGACTTGCCGAGCTGCTTCTTCGTCAAGGAGAAATTGATCTTCCAGTTGTGGGTCGTGTTGTACTCGACATCTGGGTTGTCGGGCGTGGGGCCAAAGACCGACCAGTGCACCGTGTTGAAGTCTGTCGCGGGGTTGCTGCTGCCGATCTTGTAGTCGATGCCCTTGGGGAAATCGGATTGCCAGTCGTATGCGCCCCAGTAGATCAGATATTCTGGCGGGTGCAGTGGGTGTGTGGGGTCGCGCGCGACACCATGGCGGAACTCGCCGGAGGACTTGTCGGGGGTACCAAGGCGCCAGACCTCAGTGCCGGCGGACTCGGCGACCCATTTCTCTTTCACAGTGGTGGTCTTGCCGGCCTTGACGGTCACGCCGTCGCGCACAAAATCGCCGAAGATGCCGTCAGCGTAGACGGTCAGGCGGTACTTGCCTTCGACAACGCGATCGATGCTGAACTTGCCGCTAGAGTCAATGTCCGTCCAGTACTGGTATGAGGATGGAACGACGCTGTTATCCTGGAAGTACTGGCCGTCCACGGTAAGGATGGCAATAGGATTGGTAGCGCCCTTCGGAAGGCCGACCTGACCGTTGACACTGCCTCGCTTCGAGGAAGGCACATAGCCGACGACGTGCTTGGCGATTGAGTCATAGAATTCGGCGTTCCAGCTGGGATCAGCCAGTTTCGCGGCTTCCGATCGCAAATCCTCAAGGGAAGAGGTGGAGCCCTTGCCACCGTTGAAAAGGTAAAACTGAGGGCCGAACGTCCGGTCAAAGTCGTTGGTAATGTTGGGTGTACCTTCACCGTGGTGGTTGGAGACAATATAGTTGTAGACGATACCGTCGACGGTCAGATCGGAGTGCAGGGGGCCCTAATTTGTTAGTTTCGTCAACGCGCCGATGCCGAGGGACATACTCCGTAGTAAGTATCCTACTCATCGCGTTAGCACGGCATCTTGATATGTCGAAGCAATACTAACCTTCGTATTCATGACCAGCCAGGCACCGTAGGTCGAGCCATTGGAGTTCGTGCCGTCTCCGTAAAGCCCGTGAACGTCGTTGTCACGCCATTCTATAGCCTGTTAGATCGATCGTACCACGTGAGCGAATGCGACCTACGGTTCGAAAACGTGTACTTGGTGAAATACTCCGAGAATTGGGTGTAGTATGCATCGTCCGGGGTGTTGTTGAATCGCCATGTGGCGTCCTGGACGACCACCTCCTTGCTCACGGCATTCGTACTCGGCAGTGGAGCTGTCTGGAGCTCACTGGACGTAAGATGTGTCCACAATTGCGTGTTCGGTCGGAAGAGCGTGCGGAACTCTTGGAGGTTGCGAAGGAAGGGAGTTGTCTCGTTGTAATAAGCCAGACGGCTAAACATGTGCAGCCCTGTCTCTCCGTCACGCAGGAACCAGTATTGCTGGAACTGCTGTCCAGTGGGAGTATAGGTATCATTCAGGATTACTCCGGCGTATTTCGTTCCGGTCGAGTCGGTTCCTTCGACATGTTGCATGCTCGGCTTTGTGGCGCCCGCAGTATAGAAGCCCGAGGGGATGCAGTAGCAGTCGAGATAGGGTCCAATACCTGTAGAACCGGATTGAGGTCCGAGAAGGTCCTGACCATCGAGGAACATATCGACAACTGATCCCTTGCTCTTGCTCCAAACAGCTTTGAAACGGTCATTGTTGAGAGTGATGGTGCTGTTGTCCTTGGCGACCTGCAACGCTGCCAGCGCAACGCCAGCCCAGGCGCAAGCCGCACCTAAAGAAAAGGCGAATCGCATTGTGGAGGGTAACCGTCAACAATTAATCGACAGCGACGTGAAGCCCGCTCGCAGGAATCATGGAGTGATCCCGAGCGATATTTGAACCGCCTTGCACTGGCCATGTTTATGATCACGGCATGCAATGCCCCGAGGTCACTTCAGAATCAACTTCAAGCTCCGCTGCAGCCCCCAAGCCAGAGGCCGCATTCAGGGGATGACGGTGTTTAGCGACTTAGCCTATCAAGGAATGGGCTAAGACCGCGGGCTGCGGAGCCCCAGAAAAATGGGTGAAATGCGGGGAAACTGTTGGACCAGAATGTGGCGCCATAGAGGCGACGGAAAAATTATTTCGGCCATCATTAACCCGATGAAGCTTGAGAGCCAGACCTGGGTGTAAATTGAGACCGAACACCGCTGCGGGGAAGTGGTCAAGAGAATGCAAAAACGCCGCCCATTGTGCCCTTGTTCCCTCGTCCAATTCGTTTTCCCCGTGTCGTCCTTTCATTATACTTGAGCACGCCACGACTCAGCCTAGTCTCTCAACAGATACAATGCAAGGAGGGAAATCGATCGATTGAGTGACATTTCTGCTGGTTGCCATGCGGTCCCCATAAGAATTATTGAAGGTCGTGCCAACACGTCCATGAGTTCGGTAGTCATTATCTGGCGTCTACTGCAGCAGAAACCGGGATTCGGTCCCTTGACATAATGATTTGCATGGCTTAAGCCGAAGCCGACGCGTCGATCCAAGGGTGGATTAGATAGTCATCCGGACTAGACGTTTCCGCTCGGTTGAAGGACAAAGATCATGGACAGGAATTGACTGTGGTAGAGATTTCTCAACGTGTGCATTCAGATGCTTGCTAGGCCGACGGCATAAACCGGGGTCATTCAGTTTACTGCCCCTCGAACGGATCACAGCTTGGGCAGCTAGTCGTATTCATCCCTATTGGGTTTAAAAAATAACACCAATTTCTGCGCAGTTTTCAAGTGGCATGTTCAATCCTGGGTAGAATACGAGTAACCTAATCTCATGTAAGGGCTTGATTCAACTCAATAAAGATTGCTCGGCACGCTGTTCAGCCACGACATATCCTGAAAATCAGGTATATCGAAGCCATCCAGCAAGATTGCATTCATGCCTTCGCCAAGGGCCATGTCGTTCATGGTGTTGGAAGTGTTGGCTTGAGCATGGGTTGGCGGCTCATTCTGTGGCGGTCCTGCGGACACAACCCTTTCGTAGAGGATCTCCAATGCTGCGACGCACCGTCGAGCGGATGAGCTGTAGCTATAGTAGCTTCTCAATATTTCAAGGGCGCAATTCCAGGATCTGGTTATCGCTGTTTCTGTTACTTCTTCGAGGATAGCGGATCGGAGGCGCCCGGCGATCAGGACCGTCGCTGCCGTGTAGACATCTTCCCTGTCAGTATAGTCTCAGTTGGGGCCTTTAATATGACTTACAAAGAATATTGTACCACCAGGCTGGAAGTGGACCGGCAGAGCCGTCGGCAGGGATGTTGCTGTGGATTAATTCAATGACGTCTTGTGCGACCTTGACACAGATGACGGAGCACTGCTGCGCAACTCGCTGAGGAAATGAATCATTCACTGAGATAAGCGGATCGTTGGGTGTGATCTCGCGAGCAGTACAGTACTTGGACAAAATCGGTCTGAAAAGAAGCATCCGGACATGTAGAAATCTGGCGTGACGTTCAGCTCGCATACCATTTAGGTCGGAACAGGCAGCTTACCGAGCTCTCAAAACCACACTCTGGTGGTAGAAAACTGCGTCCTCAGGCTTGGGGGATGTATCTCCTCGGAGATGGGGCGGTAGACTTTGAGTCCATTTGGTGAGAGCTCGATCGAGCTCGAAGATCGTACGTTCGCCTTCGTCCGGTCCTTTGTTGAAGTAGAAATCGTAGATGTCTTCAGGGTTCTCTTCGGGAACAGGTTTGTAGAGGCTGAGCAGAATATCGTTCAAAATCTCGTAGAGCTCAAGAGACTTTGCGTAAAAAGCCATGACAGAAGGACGGTCCGCGGGTTGTCTCACTTCACCAGCCAGAGCTGCCGGAATGTACTCCTCGTCCACTGTGGCCGGCAACGGAACAGAGCCACAAGATGCCTTGGAGATCATAGCTGGTCGTCCGAATGTCATCGAAATAACCCTGTCCATAAGAACACATCCGTGCCAGACCTTCCGTGCGAGTTGCTGTTCTTGGAAGCTCGGTAGACGGGCAATGGTCTGTGGAAGGTGCAGGCCCAGACTTTGAGCGTTCCGAATCGCCAACCCAGTGACAATCCAGCATTGATGTGCCGAGTCGGTACTTTGAAGGTACTGAGCCATCAGCAGAAGGCATTGAATCAGAGCAGCAGAGCCACCGTGCCAGAGGTTGAAGTGTAGGAGGTCTTTAGCGCGAGAGAAGAAAGCATCTGCAGAGGCTTCGCGCTCGTCCGGCGGAATGAAATCAGCCAATTGACAGGCCAAAGCAAAAATTACGTTGAATGTGCACATGAGCATATTCTCGTCAGAGTCGAGCGGGTCTCCCGTCCAGATCTTGATATACTCCGCTCGCAAGTGAATGCTATCTACCAGCGGATAGAGAGGAAACACAAAGCGCCAGTACACGTCCATAAGGCTATCGGCAGTCTTTCTTGGGGGAAGCACATAGGTGGATATGGTCGAGGGTCTTTCGGTCCTCTTGGGCAGAAGACTCGATTGCGGTGCAGTTCCCAGTATGGACTCGGATGTTCGGCGGTTGGGTGAGTCCACCCTCTTTTCCACGGCTGTTTTGATCTGGCGCATAAAACTGGTAGCACTTGAGCTGCCAAAAAATCCTTGTGTCTGGCGCTCCTCCAGAGAACCCATCATCGCGTTCACGCCATCATGTCGTCCTTCAGTATCTAAAGGACGTTCCAAACGACGGCAAACTGCAGTGCCTGGCTGCCCTCCAGCAGCGCCTGCAGAGAAGCCATTCCTGCCATGGAACCGGTTGAGAGGAAGCGTTTGTGATGGACTGAGTTGTCCCGATGACTGGACTGAAGGTGAATTGAATGGCGATGTAGACTACTAAGGTTAAATCAGTGATATATGAGAAGACAGGAATCGAATGCTGACCTGCGCATAACGTGATACCTGCTGCCCACCCGGGCTCTCTAGATGTCTGATTTTACTTTCCAAGCTAGCGATGTAGCTGCCCCATTGGAATTAACAACAGCTGGCAACCGTCAACCAAATGGTGCCTCCGGCAAACACTCACTTGCGCACGGCTCTGCGTTTCTCCGGCTCACCAGTGTAAACACAGCGCGCATCCGATCGTTTCGTACACGGCCCACAGACTAAGGTACCAGGAATGAGAGACGCGGTCAGCAAGGCGGTTCTTATTCCGAAGCAATATTGACGCGGAAGTCGGAAGAAAGTCAGCAAGACCTACCGGGTTGGATGCCGTCGCACCGGACCTTCCGAGCGCGACATTCATCGCATGCGACCGCGACTTTGCGTCGCTTCGGACGTTTTTCTGACTCTTCGTCTGGGCGTGGATGAGGAGGAGATAAGCGGTTCATTTATATAATATGTATCCTGCAGTGGTGATTATTTTGCAGGAATTGATGCATTTCTGGTAGTGTAGGTAGAGGAAGTGCGTCCCAGGACTCCCGCGAGCTCGGGAGTTGGACTCGGGTGCGATTCCGGGGGCCTCAGGCAGAAGAGCATTTATCTCATTGTTCATCCATGACGTCGAAATTGAGATTCGAATATGGTATCACTAATTAAATGATTTAAACTCAGTTCCACTGGCGTAATCTAATTATTGCAAACGTATGTGCGCTTGTCGTTAGAGTTGCGCTGCTTTCACTCCTCGAAATATATATTTTGTCTGAGGATGCACTTGTGAAATAATGCCGCCAGATATATCAAATCAGACGCTTACAATGATATATCCTAATACTGCATACTCCTCATCCTCAGCCAGGCGTAAGTACTTAGAATTCAAGTCAAGCGGGTGAGTATCCAGGACTTGGTGATTCATGGATGTTTTCTCAACGCGTTCTTCGGAGATGTTATCTATATTGCGTCTCCTAAGGGCATGAATTCCTCTCGGTTTATTAGAGCGCACTGCGTCCTGGGAACCCAAAGCCAGCTTACAGAGTTTTGGCCATGAGTGTAAATGTTGGAGAGACTAGTTGATTTCCACTACCAAGAAGCAAGTGACAATTAAGTGTAAGGTATATTCTCGATTATTAACACTTCGCTAGTTCAATAGGACAGAGTGCACTAAGTTGATACAGTAACAGTCCAAATGAGAGTCGATTATCCACCATCTGATCAAGAAGAGAAATTTTTCTATCCGCCAGGAGCATGCAGCTGTACACCAAGTGCTATATGCAACCGTTGATCTCGAAGATATTGAACAAGGGTTCGAGGAGACGGCATCACTTGCGACTGGCTTAGTTGATGGAGCCGAGAGCAACGCAGGGTGCGGCAACGTTGACGATACCGCCAGACTATTATTACCATCAGAAGAGTGCCAACCAGGGAAAGATAGAAATGACTTACAGCCTCCGACTTGGTGTCCTGGCAGCAAGCAACGTTCTGCTGGCATTGCTTGTTGAGCAAGTCGCTGAGACCGAGAAAGCCTGGAAAATGTTAGAAATATAGCTGCCCTCGACTTTTGATACGAGTGCTTACCAGTGACGGAGATCTTCTGGCAGCCAGACAGGATACCGACACCCTCAGGGCCGCTGAGGGTGTTGCCGAAAAGGCCGTTCAGGACGCCGTAGTTGAAGGCGGTGGTGTCGCCGACCTTGGAGACATGGTTGCAGCAAGACAGAGTGGTGTGGTCACCGCACTTGTTCTGGGCCTGCTGCAGAGTGTACTCGTTGGAGCTGTCGAAGATTGGGTTGACGCCAGGATGTCCGCCGGGGAGAGCCAGAGCGGTGGCAGCGAGGAGAGAGGCAACAGCGAGGAACTTCATTTTGATGGTGGGTTAAAGTAGAGACTTTGCTTGGAAGCGTCGAGAAGTGAGAGAAGATTGTTTGGGCGTGTTGATGAAGAAGCAGAACAGCCGGATTCGACTGTCCTTTTATACCTTTGGCAGCCCTCTTCGGTGATATTGTTTTCGAAGCAGACTCGCTCAACAATTCCTGTTTCGAGCAGTCAACGCCACTGTTGGGCTCCTTGCTGGAACTCATTCAAAACTTGATCATGCTGAGGCTGGGCCTGAGGTGAAGGCTTCAATAGTCCGCATCCACAGATTCACGCAGGAACCAATTGTGCAGCAGTCCGGCCACCACGCAGTGCTTCGTGTAGCACAGTTCCACAGCCATCAACAATAAATTCCCCACCCATTCAATCGTCCTGCAATTGAGTTTGGAGGACAAACTCTTGCAGCTGCAGGGTGACAGGGGCTGATTCGGGGTCCACAAATGTGATATATGATCTGTCGCATATGGATCTCCGCATCCTGCAGCCCCAACATCCACTGCAGTCTAAATGTCAAAAGACCGTGCATAATTAGTGGATCTATGTCTTGGAATTTGTGGTGCTTTTTCCCTAGTTTAATAAGACCTGCTTGTCGGCAATCAAAACCAAATAGTCTAGGGCCAGGCAAACCATGTGCCGGGTGAGGGCCCTGCATTCAATAGTTCATCTATCCCTTGCAGCCTCTTCTTGAGAGCTACTTTTTGGTTCTCAGTAAACTTCTCCAGGGTACGCTGCCTAAGCTTTCAGCCCTTACTTTTTTTCTAATTGTATGTTTCGAGATCATTATACCTCGTGTTATGTGGAAATTGCATCGTAGAATAGTCTGTAAGAGTTTGCAAAATAGTAAAATGAGTGTTCGTCTCAAGGTCACCGATGTACACCCTGCTTGTCTCATAGAAAAAGCAATAACCTTGGCTTCGGCTAGTGGTACGCCAACTCATCATAAACAACTCCCTGGACGTCAGAGCAATGACAAAGTCAACTCCGTACCTGTTTAGCTTCATGATCGGCAATGCTCACCGTCTTGACCAGTATTATCTCGGCGTATTTTCGTAATTCAGTCTGTACTTCCCGTGCCGTACTCTACTCCATATGACGTGGATCAAAGAGTTCTATCAGCGAGCTCCCCAGTTTGGCTTCAGGTTGGCAACCCTTCACCTCAATCTCAAGCCAAAGGATAAGACGGAGTTGGTCTTTGGGAGGATACAAAGTTAATACGTAGGAAGAAACTTGGAAGAACCCCAGACGCGCGAACTCTATTTGCCAGGATCGACAGAGCTATGTTCGGTTGCCTGGCGGCCATACCCTCAGACCTTAATCTCGTTGCCGCCAGTCTCTAACTTAAAAGAGCTACAAGGGGGTGTCTATTAATGCAATAAATTGCTAGGCTAATGAGAGCAACCCTTTGTAGCTGGGAGAAACAATATGTAGTAGATGTTCAACTTCTATTGTTCTCTTTCTCAGTCATCATAACAGAGCACAAATTTTGACGAACTGTAGTTAGCGTCATGACCATCAGGAAATAGGATGATTCGTCCGATTCAAACAATGCAAGGTCATTAGATTGAGGTCGTTACTGCGTACTGCTGATCTCTATCAACAGCCACCCGGCAGGAAACAAGGCACCTGTCGTACACATAACTTCTGTCGTCTGATTTGTCTTCTTGTCTGACGATCTCTATATGCCCAATTCCGCCGGATGTATTTGCTATCTGCTTCTGTTGAAATGATTGGATAGGACGAGGACCAGCTCATACGAGCGATCATCTCCCTTTGGAAGTTGGCGCTTCATCGACGTACAATGCCGAGCCTGATGGCAACGAAGCTTTCTTTTTCTAAGGAGTATCTAATTGTCAGAGCAATTCAATTTAGTAGGCAGATCCCTCGATGCCATGAGTCTAGCCCAGGTGAACAAAAGTCCAATGCATCGGATGTGTCCAGCTCTGCCATGACTCGGATGAGTCTGCCTATGCCTTGGAAAAGGCCATGTAGATCAGCATACAGACAGTCGCTGCTCGCAATTAGTCTCTTTATGCCTTGCTTCTATTGAACGATAATCATCGACTCCACCATCGCCACTCTCCTACAGCTACGTGGTGAAAGCCCCGGGCCTATTACCCACACCGACAACAGTACTCTCTCCTTCCGCTTCCACTACATTCCGACCTGACAGCTCATGTCTTGTCAGCAGTCCATCAGCTGGTTTCTCCTGCACCTGGCCTCGGGAGATAATCCCCACACCGCTGAAGGGGAACCTCCTCCTCGAAGCCACTCGCCTTCGCCATCCGACGAGGAGAACGGCCAACGCACCAAAGACAGCTACCGATCCCACACCCACACCAATCCCAATTCCTACTTTTGCTCCTGTTGACAGGGATGAATCGCGGGGCTGCGGTGCAGAAACCGGTGTCGATGTCGACGGTATAGAGGCCGCTGTCGTGGCGGAAGGAGACCTCGAGGACGTCGTACTAACAGAGGTAGATACCGCTGTCGACGTCGACGCCAAAAGCCCCACCGCCAGCGTCTGCGCAAGTATGATCGCCTCTGACGTCCCACAGCACGCGGTGTTATTCTGCCCACAGCACCACGTCCTCGAGTCGGGGGTATTCTCGCACGGCGTCAGCGGGAAAGTATGCCCCGGATAGAACTAGCCAATAGCCATCAGTTATGCTGCTGTCATGGATCTGCAGAAGATAATTACCTCGCCCTGAGTGCAGACATTCAAACATCCGTTGGTCGACCAGTCCGTGCTGGTGCACAGAGTCCGCCAGTAGGTGTAGACCATCTGGCCTGTGCTCATCTTTTGCACGATATTCTGGCACAGTCCGTTCTCAAGACAGAAGTCCGCCGTGTAGCCCTTGGAGTCTGGTCCGCCCGGGGAATTGGGGCGGTCGAGTGAGCAGCACATGCCGTTGACGCCTTGGACTCTGTTGCATGGTTGGTAGTTGTCGTCGGCGGTGCCGTTGGGGTAGTAGCAGGTCGAGGAGACGGGGGAAATAGCCAGAGAGAAGAGGGAAAAGGAAATTAATCTCTTGGAGGGTCTCATGATGACGCCTGATGGTTTTGGTTTGATGAGGCGATGGAGAGCATGACAAGGATGGCGGGGGGATTGACGCGTTCGTGGGTATCTATAAAGTGTTGTTTTGTCCTACAAGCCGAATCTTGTGACTGTGAGACCTCTGTGTAACCAGTTGGTCGCGGAAAAGTCCGATGGTATGTACTCGACTCGTAGTCGGGTTTATGCACAAGAACGCCTGATCTAAGAAGGGTTAATGAATTTATCTGCTACTTAGATGATGATAAAGTCGTTCTCATTGTGAGTCGCAACTTTTGATGTTGGTTGGTTGCGTTTCTGAAGTGCCAGGCTGGCTTGGTAGTACCGACTCCTTCAGTATCAGCTGAAATACGGATGACCGGCTGTTCCGGTGTTCAGATGTCTCATAGCTAAGCTCATTCCACGCCTCTTGAGTGATGGCTTATCCATCCCGTAACTACTTAGAGATGATCGACGCGAACCATCGAATCAGTAGCGTCCAGCCAGAGGCAGGTTCGCAGTTCAGCTTGTCAGATTGCATAAGGCTGTGTTTGCTTACTGCATACGCCGGCGGTGATTCGCTTTGGTAGTTACCAACTTCGTGACTGTCTGGATAAGCGATGATTCAATCATCGAATATCTCTCATAGTTTGAGTTGCGTTTCTCCCGAGAGAGGGCGTGTTCCAGACATGTCCAATGTTTCAAGAACGTCTAGTCCATATATGCTCACAATGTATCAGCCACTGATATATGCCCAAGTCTAAGGTACCATTCCGAATTCACCAATCAAAAGCCTCCTCCAGATATCGAAGTGATCGACATCCCCGCCGCATAGCCTGATGCACAGCCGCGCGGGCCTGATCAGCCATCCCGGAAGGCCCGCACACCAACACCACCACAGACGAACTACTAAGCCTCGCTTCTTCCGCATGAGCTGTAATTATCCCCTGTAAGTCGGGTCGTCCGCACATAAATTCCACACCATCCATAATCTCAGCCGGAGACATAGACTCAGAAGTAACATAAAACGAGACACGGAAGACCTCCCTGCCGAGCGCCTGCTTCAACTCTCTTCCCGCAATGTCGCGCATGAGCGCTGGCTGCCGAGCGGTCCAGACGAGATGGATGTCCTGCGTCGAAGTCTCGCCGATTGAAGAGCGGATGATGTGATCCTGGATGTAAGGTATCGCGGCGGCGATCCCAGTCCCGCCTGCGATCAATAGGATGGATTCGTACTTCCAGAGCGGACATTGCTCGCCGTATGGTCCTTCGAGGAGGATGTTTGGCTGGATTCTCCGGGTTGGTGATTGCAAGCATTGATCGCGCAGATGGCGAGTCCATCCGTCATAGGGTCGGATCCAGAAATGCAGTGCCAGTTTGCGCTCTGGTAGGTCGGCTAATTTGTCGATCGAGCCGTAGTCTGAGTTCGAACTGGGAGTGCCGGGAAGAAGAGGAATTTCCGAGACATCGCCGAAATCGCTTTTCATACGGGGACATGGAGCTCGAGGTGCGCCATCTTCATATGACCACGACCCCAGTGTGAATGGATGACTTTCCCACCCCGTGAGCCGAAAGGGTTGGTAAAGAAAGTAGTATTGTCCCGGAGCTGGCTGCAGACCTGGAGCGGGGATCAGCTCCAGGCGAATGATATCAGCCGCCTCGTCATATGTTGCGACGCATTCGGTACATTGGAAACGGCTGTGCGAACCGAGTCCGACATGCAAGTTGCAGTAGACAATCCGAATCAGGCGCAAGACTCGATCGGATATCCAGATGACAACTGCCGGCCAGAGATAGAACCAGTATTCGTGATCTTCAAATATGATGACGTGACTACAACAGTTAGAGACGACATCATCTAGGAAGGTGCACTTACTAGAAACAACCGACAAGAGCGACAGCAGAGAAGAGAATATGAAAGACGAGAAATGTCTCATACGTCCTGCGTCGAAACCAGTCCACCGCAAATGGGGAGATCAATATCATGGCGAGCATAGCCTGTGATAATCAGACCGCTGACCGATTTGAGTTGCTAGAAGAAATGGACTAGCTCACCAGTGTCCCCCATAGAAGATAGGGCTTTTGCATCTTCTTCCAAACATTTCCCGCTGAAGAAAGCATAAGCGATGGTACGCAAGTGGAGAGGACAACCCACCTTGAACGAACAAGACAGTGTAAGATATTGTATGCACAACTGCTTGAAGGGTCGCTATCCAAGCCACATGGCGATGGAAAATGTTGAAAGTCGAATAGCTCCACCCCGTTGCCCAGATCAATATGTTATTCCGGCCTGCGAACAACCATAAAAGAGGTATATTGGCAAAGGAGAGAATCCCCGTGCGATCCGCTACATACCGCAGGAGCTGTGCCGATATTTCGGGCCAGCTGCAGCTGTCAGCGTATGCAGATCAACATCACTAGCGGACTTACTAGATATTGTCTGAAAAGGTTCGATAACCGACGAGGCAGAGTACAATACTCAGAATCCAGAAAAGCAAGACAACGATCGCATGGATGCGTCCTGGGAATGTCCACCAAAGCAGCCGACGTCTGCTCGATGCGAGGGGAACAGGAATAATCAAATTGGTTTGTATCCAGTCATATATCAACAGTACCGGAGTAATAAAAGGCAGCGATCGCGCTCGCTTTGAACAAATCATATGGAGAACAAGTTTGTGCAGAGCTCCGACGGCGATCACAACGGCCCAAAACGCATATCCCAGGTATCTAGTTCATCAGCTCTACCCTAAGACTCCATCAAATCAATGACTTACCCAAATGCATAGTGCGACCAAAGCTCAAATCGCCAGGCATCCTGTTTTGGTAAGCATGTGATACCGTATCAAACACCCTGGCATGCTCACAATTGTCCGGAACACACGACTGTAGTACGATTCGGAGATCAGAATAGGAGTGTCAACGATTTCCTTCTTCGGCAGCTCGCGAAACTCAACCACCCGCATCCGACTGATCACTTCATCCGACAGATTCGCGGCAAACTCCTCCCGGGGAATCAAGTGTACACCGGCGTATTCTCGACACTGGGCTTCAAGGAGTGCGAGACCTGTTTCTCTTTCCGCGTCTGAGCAATATACGGTGGAAGCGGCGTAGATTGATAGCACGCGTAGCCGATTCTGGCATCGTGGCGCCCACAGGCCTTTATTCGGGTGGCCCGAGAAAGAAATATAATCGTATGCTGTGTATACAGCTGTCACACAGCGTTCATTTGGCGGAATGATCTGTGATAGAGCATTTTGCAGGTGCGATAGGAATAGCAGGCAGGTGAGGAATAGCATGACTGGCCATGAGGAACTAAAAGAGGGGAGGAAAAGGAAGTTGGCGGAGGGAGACCGTATGGCATCAGGTTGGACCGCGATCGGAAGTCAGAGTTGACCCACTTGAAGAACTGAGATAGTGGTATCAGTCTGGAGAATGGGGGTGTCACAGGTTAACTCAAGCCCTTTAACAATATTAGCGTCAAATATTCTAGGAAGACATGGCGGGACACATGGATGCACGATGAACGAAGATATCCCAGGGTCCCTAAAATCATGAAATTTATCTAATCTGATCAAAAAGATCAGATAATGAGGTGACTCGATATGATTGGCTGGCACTTTCCAATTTTGTGTAGGTTGACTTCGGAGGGTCGGATGACTGCCTTGTTGCCTTAGATTTCCATTCCTGAGTCACGTCACGTGTCATTGATCATGGCATCTCCATAAGTGTCTGAAGCTTTAGTGGCATTCCTGCAAAATACTATTCCAAAATGTAGTTGTATATCGAAAGGAAGGCACCATCCATCTTTTTGCTACTGTTAACGAGGAAGAATGGATGACTGAGGGGTTTTGCTTGAGCTACCACCTATCCTCTTTGTTGACACGACACGACGCGACGCGGTACGGCAGCAACGCCAATCCCTGATCACTGTAAATCCATCGAATCCATTGCCATCCGTTCAGAGAAGAGCACTCTCCATTTTCTTACTTTTAATAGACGTTCCATCTATTGCATTATTTATTCCAGATGCCTATCTCCTGCATAATGCAGTCAACATCATTCAAGCCTGAGCGGGAATCAATGTTGTGCAGGTAACACAACAGGGTATCCTCGGCGAATGGATTTCAGGTGGAATACGAGCCTCTATCCATAGGTAGCTAATCAACTGGACAAGCCAAGAAATAGGCGTCAGGCTAAAAAAGACTAATCCCGCAGTCTGTCAGTTGATTCCCTTTCAAAAGTCTTCCACATTTCGTCTTTCTGCTTCTGCCACATACGGCAGTACGGAGTAATGCCATGGTTCCCGCCGGCCGGACAATCGACGCAGGACGGCTGGCGCTTCGACATCGTCAGCCTCCTCGCCATCATTGGTGAATCGACACTTGAGCGACACGTTCAGGTCATCACCGCCTCTTCGTATGCCTGGCTCCCGCGCCTCCTCCCAGCCCCGCAGACCGTGCTCAAGACCGAGCGACCGGCTCGACTGCCCTCCATCAAGGACGTCGTCATCACAGGCGTCTATTCCGGACTGCACCTCACAGAACTGAATTTCTTCGCCGATGTGATCCACGATGTCGCCACGCTGCAGCAGTACGAGTTCCGCGTGTACGACATCCACTACGCACAGAAGGAGTCAAAGGAGGCGGAGGAGCTGCGGTCCCGACCGCGAGTCTTGACCGACGGAGTCGCAGAACCAGTCTACATCCCTGTGAAGAGATTCTGCGCTCTCAATGTCGTAATCTGGATCTCCGTGGTCATGACCATCGGTCTCTTCGTCTGGGCTGGTCTCATTCACGACGGGCTCGCAATGATCGCGCTCGTAACCATGTCGCTGTCGAGCAGTCTGGCCTGTCTTTCCTCGGAATGGTACCCCGTCCTCTCGCACCGGCCGACCGACGCCAAGGTCCCGCGGGGTGATATCGTGATTGCGACGCGCCACGGGGCGTTTGTGGTAGTCCGATGCGACGAGGAGATCACGCGGGAGCTATATGGGGGCACGGAGATGTGCCGGTATGTGTTTGGCGATACATGGCATCGGGTGCTGCTGGGGACCAGCACGGTCCTGCTCATGGCATCTGTGATCCTGTTCAATAACTGTGGCTGGACGATGCAGGCGGCCATCGGTGTCGCGTATATCATTCTGAATATCTTGTACTGGGCGGTGCCGTTGATGATGCACCGCAAGTCGACGTGGGATATGAGCCGGTATGAGATCAAGAGGGCTGCACCCAAGGCGCAACCGACGAAGCGAATGCCAAGCTATACGGAGACCCTGTGGTATGCCATCCGTGAAACTGGACGGACAGAGTGGGTTGAAAATAGCAAGCTTGCGCCGTCAACAGAGGCCTGGCGAAAATGGCTGCAGGAGGCTCTGAGGAACTGTTACGACGGGTCCACGTGGGATCCGATAGACGCCAAAGATCGCTTGATGCGGGAGGCCGCAGAGAGTGTGACGGCGGCGACAAAATTAGACTGACACTATGAGCATGACTTCATGATTATCGTATTGTTTCTACCGGGTATATCATAACTTATGTTCCTCTGCACCCTGTAATCATAAGCTCTCGTAAATCGTACAGTGTCATCAAGTCATAAGCGTGGATCAACAATATCTCTCGAAACCATCCAAGGTAGCCTGACAGTATCCAGGATAGACGGATCATCACCGAATCTGCCGCTTTTGATCACATCCTGGACAAACGACAGGTCGCGCTCTTGAATTCCGTCTGCTCCAGGCCGAGGACCGTCAAACACACGCGCCAGAAACCGCAGAAATGCAGACAACGCAGCAACGATACAACTGCGTTCGTTGTTGTGGACATTCCGCATAACTTCGGCGAGCAGACCTGGCGCGTAGTATGGGACAATCGCCACCCCGTCGCCAATGCCATCTACACTGAGCCCATCAACCAGTCGGCGTTTGGTAGACTCTGGTAGAATCTGAAAAGCCTTCTGGAACATCTCAGCCGACTCTGGACTATCGCCTCGGCCCATGCAGAGCAGCCGCAGTAGCGTTCGTTCCTCGGCATTTTCGACAGAAAGTAATGCAAACCCCTTATCGTGAAGAAGTTCGGCCCGGTCCATCAGAATCCGGTCGTAGCATGCGCGCTCAGTCGGAATGTTCCCTCGCATGAACTCTCCAACGACTTCAATAGTGCGCAGATAAGCCCGGCAGACCGACTCGGTCATCATTGCGCATCCCCTTGCATCGCGATGGGCAGCCGCGCCAGCAACATCGAGCAGCGTCACCATCGCTCGCATCTCGTATCCGCATTCAACCTCACTTATTGACCGCAGCACAGAGAGACTCGCTGGCGCGCACTCACCCTGCACCAACTGCGAGAGATTAAGCTTGCTTCCGATCTGCAGGCTCTGCATGATCGTTTCCTTGCCTCGGTGGGGAATACCTGTGAGCGCTGGGATTCGATCTGCTCGCGCAGCATGATAGACTAGCTCGGAATGATTCGCTTCAGCTTCAGCCTCGTCGGCTGTGGCTAGAGTAGAGTCTTTGCCGATATCGTCGATGACGATCGCTACCAGTAATGCGTAGATGTCGTCTGTGTTGCTCAGATTCCGGATGATCAACCCCCGCATACACTTGAACGTCTCTGGCGCCAATTTTCCTTCTGATTGACCGCGCGTGAAAGACTCGTAGTCGTCTGCCAGAATCCACTTGAGCGCCAGCATGCTGATCAGGGTGCGATTGACCTCTGCGAATTCTGCGCCGTAGATCATCGCCGATGGTGTTTTCCCATCCAAGCAACAGGGAGGCGTGCTTGTGCCGGATTCAACCGTAGCACTTGCATTTCGGAGATGAGAGAGCTCTGTTGGGAATGAAGATACAAAAAGGTGAATTGCCTCGGTGTCTGAAAGAGTTAAGAATTTCTCTCGCGCGATGACGTCCCGTAGCGTCGCCATTTGTGGGCGAGAAGCAGATTCAGGGCACCAGAGAAATCGTAGGGTTGATGATACAGACGCTTTTATTCTTCTTAACATTTCTGAATATGCAACCGAATAGATCGGATCATGACGTTTTAAGCAAGAGTGACTGTACCAAAGAATGCCTCGGGCTGCACAGCCGCACCGCCTGATCATCAGCCACTCTGGGTCTGAGCCTCTCTAAAATGTCGACTTCGTATTTCATGGGCGCTTAACTTCTGGATCTCAGCCTCCTTCTCTTCAACAGTCGGTGAGAATCCATGTTGAGAATATTATGAGAGAAGGCTCTGTTGGGTTGTTTTGGCAGCGAAAGGGTCATGATGCGGGAGAGATATATTTTGGCGGGCGACATCCAATACTAAGGTACTAGTAGAGTGTATGTGAACCGTGGCTGGGCTATCTACCATTTCATTTTCTTGACCGTCGAAGCCTGCAAGGCTGACTCGGTAGTTTCAATGACTCCAGTATCAGCTCTCTGCAAGTGCCATCTATTTCTTCTGTAATCGTAGCTGTAGTATCAGAGTGGAAACTGCCATTACATTTTGCTTTGATACTGACGCTAATAGAAACTGGGACGCAGGCTTTGGCATCATACTAAGATACGTGGATCATATTTTGTCTGCACTCGTCTGATTGGACTATTCTGAGTTCTTATTTATCTAGCAGTACAGGAATGTAGATTCAGGTCTATTTGACCTTTTGGAAGCTGGCCCCCTGGCGCTTACTGCCTGCCCTGCCTGTGGTGGAGGTGGTGGTCGTGGTCGCGGTAGAAGTGATGGACAGAGGGACACACACAGGGGCGGGAGGCTGCATTTCCGCTATAATGGGCATGAGTTAGTAGGCTATCCTTGTTCTTAGATGCCAAAGTATTAAAAACTAACCCATCTCTATTGCGGACGACCTCGACTAGGACCGGGGAGCTCAAAATGATCATCACCGACGCACAGACGAATATGGCAAACATGATAATATTGGCGTTAAAATCAACATGGATGCCGCCGATTTCGACGTAGCTGGCCATTTTGACAGAAATGAGGAGAATCCTTGCTTGTGATATGTGAGGTAGAATGATGGAGGAGTTGTTTACAGGAGGAAAGCTCAAGTATGATGATCTAAAATCTATGAATGATGCTACTATTCACTGAACAAGGAATCATTATTTACCTGTTTGGTAAACAATCTTTTGAGAAGGGTTCAGGAAGATGATGTCATAAATATCATTACTCTTTGCTCTGATACTGACTCTAATGAGCAACTAGGATGCAGGATTGGGGCATTCTGTTAACTCAGTGGCCATTCTATGGCCTGTCATGCAACGTGAAGCAGCTCTCCATATAGAAAAGTGTGCATATCAGTAGCAGCTTTAGGATTGTGCGCCTGCTTGTTGCTGTGATTCCATGAATGGTGATGTCCCTAGACTTCAGCTTTACTGCCAGAATGAAAGAGTCCAGCTTGGATCCCCTAATCTAGTGAATGTAGTGATATTATAAGATATCACTACTTCAATGGAATGACTACTAAAGCAGGCAAGGGAATGAATTCTTGTTATCTCCTCTTTCAGTGAATATGTAGTGTGGTTCTTGGAGGACCACTCATATCACTAAAGTATATTATACTTAATTTCCCTCCTGTAAACAACTGCAATCACCTCATACCAAGTCCATTATCACATTCAGCCAAATTAACCATACCATACTCTCCAAAGTCCTCTTCAATATAAGCAGTCGTCCAAAATGGCCAATTCCTCAGAAGTTTGGCTTACGTTTGACGCCACGACCTTTGCAGTTGCTCTATGCGGCTGCGTTTTACTCCTCGCTGTTATGAGATCAGCCGTTCTCAAGGAGATTCTTCGCCATTGGCACCTGTAAGTGGTTCCGAGTGCCTTGGCTGTCTAAGAATGAGGAAAATTACTAACTCATGCCTATTGCAGTAGTACTTTGCCCATCTGCCCCCGTTGCGGTGGCCACGTGCATGCCCCCAGAGGCTCCTTCTCGTCCGCCACCACCTCCCACGAGGGACACTTTGAGAATGCTGGGGAGGACAAACGGGAATAAGCCTTTAATGGTATCCTGTATCTTAGTTTAGGCCTTCCATAAAATATATGATGCAGGCACTTATGTCTTGTTCACGTTCTGTAGTGCCTTATAAGGTAAGGTAATAATGAGAACCCAATAACAGAAGGGAAACCCATGTCGATAAGCTACAATACTATGGGCAATCCTCTAAACACTACATACTGCATGAGAGAGGGAGTAATAAGACTGCATTTGGTTTCCTCCATATTTTGAATCAATATACATACATATGAACCATGGTTTGCTCATTGCCTTGTTGGCCTTGAGAGCAGAAAGTATCACATCAGTATTGGTCGTTGACCATACACAACGTATACCTGTCATTGGTAAAATCATCCGGTTATCGCCAAAATTCATCCGATTTTCAGACGAGGAACAACTTCTCAACTGCACTTGCTGTAGTTGTATACTTGTTTAAAGCCCTCAAACAAAGTTGATAACTGGCAAAAAATTGGCAGAACTAAAGGAGTCTCGTACAATTATCTCAGTTCATTCTTACTATGCACTCATCTTGACTCTATTCACTCTTGATCGCTGAAAGTTGTTTATTCACCCACCTACTACAAACAGAAGTAGACAGCCTCATCTCCTTCCACTTTCCTTCTTCCACTTTCCTTCTTCCACTTTCCTTCTTCCACTTTCCTTCTTCCACTCTCTTTCCACTCTCCATCTTCCACTTCCTCTAAGTACACAGTCTTCCAGAACCCTTTTCCAACTCTCACCATGACGAGCAAACGATGACCCGCAATTTGCGTTTAACTTTGCCGACATACCAGATGACACCAAGAAAGATGAAGGGCCCAAGGTCAAAAAAGGTCGAATGCACCAAGAAGGAAGTCCAAGCTATCCTTGACCTCCAAGACAAGGAAGAGTGGCTGGTGTGGCTGAGATCCGACATGGTACAACCATGGTGGCAAAGGCGCACGGTATGCTGGAGTACACCAGTGGTGGCCGAAATAGTCCACCATCGATTGGGGTTAGTTCTGATACTGACTACCTTGACTGTGTCTAAGAAGAACAGGAACAGTCACTAACTCATGCCTATTGCAGTCGTATGTGCCCTAATGGCACACCTCCTCCTCCTCCACCACCACCACAAACTTTTCCAATGGCGCCACGGGCCAACAAGGCCCTCCAGGCCCTCCGCCATCACCAGCGGGTCCGGCAAGCTCCCCTACAGCCATCCCCCTGCCAGCAAGCCCCCCTCCGCTGCATCTTCCTCCCCCTGGTATGCCGGGGAAATTCTCGCCTCCTCATTTAGCGGGCAAGAGCCCATCGCCTCCGGGCTCGCCGCTTCGGGCTTCGGCTCAAAGCTCATACGGGCTCCATCAAGGATCCCAAGGCGTAGGGCCGTGTGGCAGAGCCCAAGCAGCAAGGGCTATCTACTTCCAAAGTAGGGCCCGGGGTTTTCTTTTCTTTTTTCTCTCTTTTTTTGGTTTTCTTTTTGGTGGGTGGGAGGGGGCTTTCTCCTGTATGATTATAGACCAAAAATAGTCCAAAGGACTGGAAGCTTTACTTGACACATTGCAACCAGGGTTGCAACTGTGTTGGCACTGCCAACAACACTGGTCCCACCGATCCTCCTCCCTCCACCACTGCCGCCACCAATCCCGCCACCATGCATGCCACGAAGGCCCGGGCCGGGCCGAAAGAGGCAACAAGCCCGGCCCCGGACAAACGAGTTTCTACGGCCAGTGCCGCCAGCAAGTCCAGCTCAAGCAGCGGCGGCGGTGGGTTTCGGCGCACCATAAGAACCACTGCGAGGCTGCAGTCCCCCCCCGGCCTTCGACACCGACCTGGGCACAGCCCAGCCGGCCGTGATTCGGCCCCCAATGATGGTTGGGACGGCCAGAAAGGGGCGATTCTGCCCGTTTGACAAGGGTCTTTTTTTTTTTTTTTCCTTTTTTCTTTTGTTTTGTTTTTCTCATTTTTGCGCTTCGGCGTCAGGCACATAGGCCGGATGGGCGGGAGGGTGCGCTAGTCGCACAGACCTGTGTTGCCTCATGTACTACTTAGTACAATAAGAATCTTGTTTTACCACACCTTGTAGAATTTCTTTACCCCTTGTCCATTGTAGCAGGCATCAGAACAGAGCCGCAGGATGCCTTGCAGATCATAAGTCATATGAATGTCGTTGGGATAACCTTGCGTTCATTAGAAGACAATTCTTCCTTTGATAGTGGTGCAAACTCACCTGTCTATCGGAACTCATCTATGATAGATTTCGTGCTAGTTACTATTCTTGGGAGCTCGGTAGACGGGCAATATTCTGTCGATGCAGGACCAGGCTTTGAGCGTTCCGAATCGACATGGAAGGACTCATAGTAATAGGAGGCGTATGCGCTCAGCAACTGAATGTATGCCTATCTTTATGGCTATGTCCGGGGCTTATTGGGAATCATATCATGACAAGGCTTGTAAGGGTTGATCACATCCGGACACATTGGACTTTTGTTTACCTGGAAGGACATTCGTAGTCAATGATGGCGGCTCTAGACTCATGCCTTGAGGCATCTGTCTACTAACTTGAACTAATTACTCCTCGGGAAAAGAAAGCCGCATTTCTATTAGGCTCGGCATTGTATGCCTATGAAGCGCCATACTCCAAATGGAGATAATTGCTTGTATGAGCCGGTCATTGTTCTATTCAGCAATATTTGAACATATAAACAAACATAGAAACAGATTAGAATGCAAGTCCAAGAGCAATCCTAGCAGAACGGCGCTACATTCTTGATCGAAGAGGAAGTATGGTACCAGCATTTGCTTTGACGACTGAACGAGGAAGTTGAAAGCTTTGACGAGTAATGTATGTAAGGGATGATGGACAAACATGGGAGCAACGTAGCTAGCCTAAGATCATAATTCAAACTCATAACACAACATAATGTAGTGCGAGATGTCTGTCTGTGATTTAAACGAGAATCACTCGTGTCTCCCCGAATGTCACTGTCTTGGGCCCTGTCTTGGGCCGAGACCGACAGTACAGGCTTGCCTGGTTGATCAGCCGAGGTATTCTGGATGCTGAACTCGTCATGTAGACTGATTTCAAGATAGAGGCCCTGGGACGACCTATGTTCATTTGCTGCTTTCCCCGGGCTGAGGAATGCAAGGATGTTGCAGCTGTTAAGTTAGAAGCTGTAGAGCGCACTGGACTCGGGATACGGCTGGAAAATGGACGCGTCTTCTTTTTATGCCTGGAACGCCTCGAATGGCTGCTGCGATGTCTAGAGCTCTCCGTCGACGAAGACGGAGGATTTTCCACTTCGCTGTAGTCCTGATACGTATTCGAATATTCACTCGAACGGCTGGTGCGATGTCCAGAGCTCTCAGTTGTCGAGGCCGGAGGATTTGTGACTTGGCTGTCGGTCTGGCAGCGGCTGTTGTAGTAACGGTTGCAGTAGCAGCGGTAGCCGTTATTATAGTAGTAGTTATTCACTGCCGGCGGATTTGTGCTGTAGGCCACAAGATCTGGCATGCGTCCCGACTTAGCGGCGGCATTGTACCTACAAAGATGAGTTACTTGTTATCCTGGTGATCCATATTCGATGTACTTCTCGTGAAGTGCTACATACCTTCGTGTATCTAGGATCCCGTATATTACCAAAAGTATCATTGGTACGAATATACAAGCCAATAATATGAAGAATATGAAGAGAGAATCCATGGTGATTTTAATGTGAATGCCACGAGTCGGATGAGGTCGTTACTCGTTCGACTTGGGAGTGATTGGAGACCTCTGTAGGCACAACCGAGGAAGAAATGTATTAACAAAAGGGACAAAGTTGTAGTCTGTAGATTAACTTGATACTCGACAACAGAGAGTAGATGGCTTGGCTGATTGAGTGATCTGGAGGAAGGTAGACGAAGTAGGTTGTATATGTTGCCTGTGGTCCACAACAAATCATGACGTATTTTGCAGCCCTCCAAGCCATTGATCGGAACCAGAATAGGCAGCTTTAGGTGAAAATTGAAAAGCTGGGGGTGTTTCTGTGTTTTGGTTGTTCTGCAACTATTTTTAGATTTCAGTTTCTCTGCCCTTAAGCATCTGCCTATCGCCTAGGGCCTAACGGTGTTGTATAAAATCGATATTTTATATGAAGTATATGATAATCATCATTAAACTAATCTAGATCAAAAATTTCCTTTCGATATTTCTACGGTTGAATGAGTGGTGGTGATAATCATTTTTCGACTCTGCTGAATCGATTTGGCTTCCGTAAAGCTTCCTCTGGCTCTGCAGCTTCGTGCGTGATCTCAATAGTCGTTTCCTGGTATACTCCGTGGGCCATATTGCCGAGCTCCATTTCGCCTTTCGACACAATATCTTCCGTTGAGTCGCCTCGGTCATCAAGCACCGTATCGTTGATACTTTGCAAGTCACGGCGGAGGCGAGATTTGACCCGAGACTTCTTGCTGTGGTGCTGACGTGCGTGTTGTACAGAGTCGAGCCGTGCGTGGTAACGGCCCGACGTGCTGACCTCGGTGTCCAGTATAGTTGTTACTGTCGTTGTAGAAGTGTGCTTTTGTACCGAAAACTATGATAGAAATGATTATTCCCCTCTATTCTTGTACCTCAGCTTTCATGAGCGTGTTCAACCACAGGATCAAATCAAATTCCATCATGGCATTCTCCAAAAGCTACGGTATAATTAATGATCTTTAATAGGGAGAATGTGTCAGATAAAGCTTCCTTTGGTCTATCTTTGGTCTATCTTTGGTCTATTAATTATACAGGAGTAATCACCATTCCCACCCAGCCACTAAAGCTTCCAGTCCTTTGGTCTATCTTTGGTCTATAATTGTACAGGAGAAAGCCCCCTACCACCCACCCATACCAAAAGAAAACCCCCCAAAAAAGACCAAAAGATGAATATTCTTTTTTTTATAGAGGAAAATTTTAAAAAAACCTCTGGATGTATGTATATCTACACCAACTGTCCTGGTGACAGTTTAGCCCGCTTCTTGGGCGCCGGCAAGCTTGATGCCCCCCGGTGTCTCGCGGAGCCAGCCCCTGGCCGAAGCTCCGGCGTAGTGGTTAAATGGCGGCTTGAACGGCTGGCGGCCCCGGGTGGGCGCGGGCGAGGAGGACCTGCCGCCTGTAGCAAGTACTGTGCCGGCAAGAAGCCGGGGGGCCAGAAGAGGGGGCCGGGGCAGAGCCTTGAGAGCCAGAGTGGGAGCCAAGATGAAGAGGAGGTCCAGGCACCTAACTGGGGAGTAGGTACCCCTTGCGTCTTGATGGTGCGCTCTGCCACATGGCCCTATGCCTTGAAATCCTTGATGGAGCCCGTGATGAGCTTCGAGCGGAAGCCCGAAGCGGCGAGCCTGGAGGCGATGGGCTCTTACCCGCTAAATGCTGAGGCGAGAATTACCCCGGCATACCCGGGGGAGGAAGACGCAGCGGAGGGGGGCTTGCTGGCAGGGGGATGGCCGTAGGGGAGCTTGCTGGACCCGCTGGTGGTGGCGGAGGGCCTGGAGGGCCAGGCAGACCTGGAGGGCCCAATTGAAAAAGTGGAGGAGGAGGATTCAACCTTGTGACATAAGGGCGCGTGCGTCCATTACCACTGCAATAGGCATTAGTGACTGTTCCTGTCCTTATCGGCTCTATCAACCTTACTTCGCTGTCCCTGCGCAAAACAACAGTCTGAGAGCAATGCTCTTACTGTCTGAATGCCAGCAAAAATTATATGGATTGGGAAGAAAGCCGAAAAGGCTATCGTCGCAACGATCGCAACCAGCTTGAAGACAGCGAACGACGCGTCCCCATATCACTGAACGTAGCGGCGTATCCCACTGTTTCCTGGCTAGGGCGCGAAGACGGTATCATGGCCATCTCGTGGCGGTTTCGTCCACTCTTTTTTGGGCAGAGGGGCCGTGCCGGCTTCAAGATCAGAGGAAACATAGCTGTAAGAGTGTTGGTTCGAGCGATCGTAGAGGCGTCAAAGAGGATGGCAGACCAAGTGGTGTCCTTTCAAACCTAAATGTATAGCCATGAGACGTTAGTGTGTGCTTTCGTATTTAGTTGGAAGGGATAGATAACTGGGTAGGACCGCATCGAAGACCTTACCAAGAGCTTTGCTAGAAAGAGCAAGACTGATCGGAATCGAGTGCTGGTGGATAAAAGCTGATTGAACAAGTGTACAACTACAGCAAGTGCAGTCCAGAAGCAGAGGAGAAGAACTGGGTGGGAAGATCAGTTGGTCTGGAGAGAAGAAGGAAGGGACTCGGTAAACGATAGAAGCTAAGGAATCTGCGTAGAAGGTTCTGTCCCCAAGGGGAAGTGAGGAGATATAGGTAGGCGAGCTATATTACATCCAGAGAGGGATACCATCTATGCCTTTGTTGCTTGGAGAAAGGAGCACGAAATTTTATTCCTGTGAATACAAAGAGGTGGTCCTTACTAAAGTCTTCATGGCGAATGAAAGCAAGAGCAATTATGAAAGTTAGTAGATAAAGAAAAGAAACCTATGAGGCTATGAACATGATGCTAAACCAGTTAGTAGTGCTCGACTGAGTTTCAGGAAGTACAACATACTTTGCTGGGGCAGGCGCTATTCACTAAAACTTACTATTAATGTTTACATTAACAGGCACATTTCAACTACCTATACTCATAGCATTTTAATATTGTACTTATACCAAGTCTCGCTGCGCCAACATGGAAGGCAGAGATGAAAATATAGATATAGATTAGTACACGCACGACTCAATCTACCTATTCTGGTTCTGATCAATGGCTTGCCATACAAGAGGGCGGCGAAATATGTCATGATTTGTCATTGATCACACAAAACATACACCAACTTCGTGCACCTTCCTCCGGAGGTATCAACCCTCATTCAGCCAGGACATCAACTCTCTTGTCGACTATCAATATACCCCTTTGCCTTTTTATAAAACAAATCCTTCCTTAGTTGAGTTAGAAGAGGTCTCAAAACACTCCCAAATGGACATGACCTCATCCAAACCTTGTGGCCTTTATATTAGAGTCACTATGGAGTTTGCCCCTATCTACATAACTTGTGCTATTGCGATGCTACTCCTACTTGGAGCATTGGCTGTCGGCCAGCATGGACCTAGGTATGTAGAAGTTCACAAGAAGACAAGAAGTACATTACATATGGATCATCAGGATAACAAGTATCATCTTTGTAGTAAAGTTGATTCAGGGCCAGGATGCATGTCTCTATGTTAAAATATATGTAAGGACTATAGTGAAGTCATAAATCCTCCACTAACAGATACCTCTATACTTAATTCCTACTATTACTATTATTACTACTACTATGACTACTATAACTACTATAACTACTATAACTACTATAACTACTATAACTACTATAACTACTATAACTACTATAACTACTACTATAATTACTACTACCTAAATAGCTGCCAGACCCACAGCAAAGTCACAAATCCTCCATTCTCAGAAGCTGAAAGCTATAGACTCAACACAAGCCATTCAAGTTGTTCCAGGCATCAGAAGAAAATCCATGCGCATTCCAGCTGTACACCCACCCCTGCGGGCCTTGCGGCGTCTAACTTGACACCTGCATCTTCGTCGGGTTCCTCTATCTCGAAATCAGTTTCGTCATCCAGAATACCTCAGCCGATCAACCAGTACGGCCTGCACCGTCGGTCTCAAGCCAAGACGGTGAGATTCGGAGAAACTCGACTGATTCCTGACGAAACCTCACAATAGAGACCACACTGTTCCTTGTGACTTGGCTCGAATATGAATTATTATGACTAGCAAAATTGCTCCTGTGTTTTTCCATCATTACCTCCACACATTGTCAGCCAAAGGCCTTGACTTCCTCTTCCACAAGGGAATGTAACATCATCCCCTGTGATTTCTTTTAGCATTGCTGATTATAGTTCCTCTCTTGCGGGCAGCTACAATTCATCACATCAACCTCCGTGTCCACTTTTATACTGTCTACGCCATGCAAATTGCATTCTCTTACTTGATTCCGAGATAGCTCCTGATAGCATAAGAATGTGCCATCTGGCCGTATACCTCCCAGTCATATTTACAAGATGTTAAATTATGCGTAGCTTTAGAGAATGCCATGATAATGTGGTAAGAGGACAACAAAATACGTCATGATTTGTCGTTGACCACACACAACATATGCCGACTTTTTGTACCTTTTCCCAGACATATCAACCCTCAATCAATCAAGACGTCTACTCTCTTGCGAGTATCGAGTCTCTCTACAACTCTAACCTTCTTTTATCGCTGTTCTTCCTCAGTTGTACCAGTAGAGGTCTCCAAGCACTCCCAAGTGTAAACGAACTTATCCGAGCGTGGCATTCATATCAGAGTCACGATGGAGGATCTCTCTCTCTACACACCCCGGGATATTATGGGGCTATCCACCCTATGCATGCTATTTGGATTGATGTATATCATCCTAGCCGAACCAAGGTATGTAAAAGTTCATGAGAAGTATATTGAATATGGACTATCGTGATGACGAGTAACTCATGTTTGTAGGAAGAAGGTCGCCTCTGGGAAGTGCACGTGTCAATATCCAGCCTGTCAATATCGAAATCCATGCCAGCCCGACAGCGAAGTCACAAATCCCTCGACCTTGAAAACCGAGAGCTTTGAGCCTGGCACGAGCCATTCGAGTCCATATCCGAATGCCTGTCAGAACTACAATGACGTCCCGAAGCCTCCACCGGTGACAGATCCCTGTATAATCGACTACTACTACCACTACTACTGCTACTACCACAACTACCACTATCCAAATTACAGCCAGACCGACAGTGAACTCACAAATCCTCCGCCCTTGACAACTGAGAGCTTTGAGTCTGGCACGAGCCGTTCGAGTCCATATGCGAATGCCTGTCATGACTACAACGACGTCCCAGAGCCTCCGCCTGCGACAGATCGCTCTATAGTCTACTACTACTACTATTACTTCTCCTACTACTCCTACTATCACTATCCAAATGAATTTGAGACCGACAGCGAAGTCACAAATCCTACGTCATCGACAACTGAGAGCTCTAGATATGACACCAGCCGTTTGAGGCGCTCAAGGCATCAAAAGAAGAGGCGTACGTTTTCCGGCCGTATCCCAATCCTGGGGGCTTCTAGCTTAACAGCTACAGCATCCTCACATTCCTCACCAAGTGGAAAACAGCAAATGAATATAGGTCGTCCCAGGGCCTCTATCTTGAAATCAGTCTACATGACAAGTTGGGCATCCAGAATACCTCAGCCGATCAATCGGGACAGGCTACACTGTCGGTCTCGGCCTAAGAAGGTGGCGGCATTTGGGGAAACCTGAGTGATTCGACTTTACAAATAGACATCCCTTTCCATATAATGCGGCATGAGTTTGAATTATAGTACGACTAGCGACATTGCTCCCATGTTGTCCATCATTTCTTCCCTACATTGTCTGGCACAGTTATCAAGGTTGTTCTTAGACTTGCAATTATCATTCATCTCTTGTTGAGACTGCAGTTTATCTTCTACGTGTTTATATCCGCTTTATACTCTTGTCGCCCTGTATCAAAACAGCCTAACGGATAGTTGGGCCACTATGAAGCCGACACCGTCCAGATCAACAATCGACAAGTGCTTTGCTTTTGCTGAATTGGTTTATGTACTTTGTTAAACTACCAAACTCCTCATAAGACAATGAACAAATGTGCAATATTACCATCTACTCCTACCATATTCTAACAAGCAAACGATAGATACTAGGGACACATATACAGAATAACCCGTCAGGGACATTAGAGATGATAATAGAGAGACAACATGCGGGTGAGTATAATTATGGAGATACTCAGTAGATTATTATTAGTTTAATTTCCTGCGAGACTCCTTGTAATTAATATTATTATATTTACTATATGGCTACTCTTTTTATGGACATATCCACTATTTACCATCTGTTTCTCCAGCGGATGTCAGCCAATTGATTTGGCTGGATGGGACGGAACTTGAGGATACTATGGGATAATCTGATCTTAATAAGACCCTGACCCATAAGATGATATCTTATTTGTTAGTTTTTTCGTCACTGCATTTCTGATGGATTGTGGTCCACAACAAATCATGATGTATCTCGCTACCCTCTCGTAAGGCAAACCTCCAGACATAAAGATTGCTGTAAGACCTAATAGACAGACAAAAAAAGCAACGGGGACGATTCCTTTGGGATTATCATGACTATAGAAGTACCCTGCCTTTGACCTCATCTGCCTTCTACTACAAGCGGATACCATCAAAGCTAGCTACTCAGTCATAATGGCAGTGAAAGCAGGTAGGCAGAATAGCTATCAGCAGCTATTGCATGTTAATCCTGCAACCAGTGAATATCAGTACTACGGAGAAGAACATTTTCTTAAAGTCCTTGACAGTGAATATCCTGCCTTTGAGGAAGACACGACTGGCCATAGAAGCCAGTTTATTATCATTTCTAATGTTGACGAGCAAACATTCTCAGAGATTGCGAAAAGCTTCTCAGCAGCTCATTTTATGAATATATTCCTGATCTTGCTGTACTTCTTGTGAGGATGACTACAGCAGCTCATGAGCAGGCATAATGCCCTCCATTCTATGATCAATCGCAAGTTTGTGCTCATGAATAGGTTGGACTTGGAGCTACAAGTGATGGGACAAGTCGCGATTACATCGAACGGGCGCACAAAGAAAGCCGACCAGACATACCGTCCCAAAGTCCTTCCGCAAACCCGTTCTGACCTCTGGCCTAGAGTGGTAATCCTAGCCAAGTACTCTCAGCCAAGGACGAAGCTTGCGGACGACACTCGCTGGTGGCTGTTTGAATCAGGTGGTGACGTGAAGACAGCTCTTAACATTACTGTTCACCAAACGAAAAGAGAAGTCACTATCGAAAAATGGGAATTAATTTCACGGGAAACAAGACAGGATGAAAACAAGAAGGTTGCTGAAATAACTCAGCGGGCTGTCATATCCCAGAAGACAGTCAACGATCCCATTCGTGTGACAGGATGCTCTCTGGCGCAATCATTCGAGCACCTTTTCCTTCGACCCGCCAATCCTGGGGAAGGGGACATTGTCCTGGACAAATCGGATATGGAGACCAACGCTGAATTAATCTGGAACGTACATTCCAAGGTTTAAGATGCCTGGGACGAAGTTGACGACACTGTTGAGATCTGCTTGGAACCAACAACATGAGGTGGGAAAACTCACCCCATGATTTGTGCAGTAAGCAAAAAATAATAGATTCACATTTGTTCATAAGGCTGTACTTGCGTATATGCCAATTCCTGAACCTTATGACGTTGGAATGTTTCGCTCCTTTATTCTTGTCAGGAAGCATGTTTATCTTGTCTCTTCTGGTCGATGCGTTCGAAAGACAAGCAATATGATGAGTGCCTATGGTTACCATCTTCTTTCGAATACAACGGCCTATGTTCACATAACCCTCTCCTCAAGGGGATCCTGGGTAATGTGGACTATACACCAGAACAACTCGTCCAGATCGCGGCAGACACCAGAGAGAAGGATCGGTTATACCAGTACCGCTATCAGAGAGCTTTGCGTGCCAATTCCACTCCTGAGTTTCGGGCCAGGAACAACCCAGAAGGAGCCGACACGAGCCGGATAAAAGGCAGCTGTGGCTGCAAAGACTTACAACTGCGATGTGTCTTGTTGTGACGCGGCTTCGCTCAGGGTGCATAACAAGACCAAACGCCACCTTAAGAAGCTGGAAATGGGCGACGACGATTATCATTGTGCTGCTTGTTATATTTCTTTCCGTTTTCTTTCTGACTTATCACGTTTCTCATACATTCATCTCATTTTTTCATCCCATTTTCCTTTATCGCTGCTCCTCCTACTGCGTCTCTACATCAAATGTCAATATGTGCGACTGTCTCCGCGTTGATGTGACTGTTCTTTTCCTGTGTCGTGGTCATGGTGCTTGCGTACTCCCCAATCCAGGTCCAACTCGCCCACTATAAGTATAGGTAAGTGATACTATCTACCTTGACTATGTCTAACAAGGACGGTCACTAACCCATCTATTATAGTGAAAGTCCCAGACACTGCTCCTGCGACAGTGCCGACCTTTCTGCCCCCGCCATCCCTGCCAGCTCCTCCAGCTCGGCGTCGACCACCTCCTCTGATGCTGTCAGACCGAATTTCCAGGTCCGATTGTTATGATCTTGGCATGGGCCAGGCAGATTTGGCGCAAAGATAGAGATACTGCCCCAGGTTATCTTCTACCGGATTGCGAATAGGCCTCTATGGCAATAAAATAAAGCTCTATAGAATCCAGCAATGCTCAAGTAAAGATACTGTACATTTAGCCTCAAAAGCAAACTCATATCAGGCGCTGGAAGAAGTTGCAGATGGGGAGGTTAACAGCGACCACTCTTGATATAATAGGCATACTCCTCGGTAGAGGTTTCCTGCAGCAGCCGCAATGAACAAATGCGCAATATTACCGTCTATTCCTACCAAGTCTAGCAAGCCAAAGGCAGAGACATACGACATAATAATAGTGAGACAGCATTGGGGGAGTGTAATCACGAGATAGCTTGTGGTTTAACTTCCAGCGAGTCTACTTTTAATTGGCGTTATCAGATCTTACCATGTGGCTACTCTTTTTATGGACATATCTTTCATTTACCGTCTGTTTCTCCGGCGGACGTCAGATTTGCGATTTGCGATATCGAGCATTGTCCAATAGATTTGGCTGGATGGGACGGAACTTGAGGGTACTACAGAAATAATGTGAGACCCTGGCCCAAGAGACCATATTCTCATTCGTTGGTTTTTTCTCACTGCATTTTCGATGGATTGTCTAAAATAAACGGCTTCACAAATACCACCGACTAACCGCTTCGGGGCATGCCTCAGCCTGGTCTGTTTGGTCCATGGCCCTCAAGCTTCGATATGGTTACCATGTAGACATATCTCACTGAAAAGGTGGATGGACTTTTCATCAACATATAAGAGTCCTGAAATCTCTTCCAACATTGATTCAAACCCCCCAGACCAACTTCCTTCTCTCGTTGAAACCACTTCAAGATGGCCCATCGTGCTCAGCAAAGCCCCACTTCCCTCCTCCATTTTCCAGGCCCCTACATGTCCATCGGCGATCGCACCACCACGCCGTTGGAGTTCATCTACGCAGTGGTAAGAACGAAGGACGCTAAGAAATCATTGGCCATCCAGATGCTTACGATAATGTGGACAAAGGACGAATATGGCGTCCACCAAGTCATCGATGAAACTTGTATGCCACGAGGACTCTCTCTTCCAACCACACCTCCGGACTCCGGTACTCAGCAGAGCGAGCACGAAGGGCATAGTCTAGATCCACATATGGTCGACATCCTGCAGCACGATTGCATAACTAAAAAATGTTATTTTTACACTTCCAGCCCCCACGTTGTGCACTATCTCCAGCGCTAACCTGACTCGATCCTAGGTCCGACGGCGCATGCAGAACTGAGAGGCCCAGCATCGCTTCCGCGAGTGCAAGGACCAGCAGTAGAAAACCCTCCAACAGAAAACTGAGGACCTCCAAATCAAATGCCAGACTCTGCTGGATCAGTATACTAAGTGGATGGATAAGGTCTGCCACTTGCTTAAAGAGAATGACGCCCTATAAGCTAAGGTTAAGACCCTCTGCCAGTAATGGGAGGTTATCTCTACTATTTTATACTAACTAAAAGGTCCCTGCTCCTTGTCTGTTCTTATAGATGAGACTTCTCTGTCCCTGTTGCTTTGTTCCTCATCTGAAGGGTCAAGGAAATTAGATGACTTCTAGCAGCATCTGGATGATTTCACTAATATTAGGGAGAATTCCTCTAGCCTTAGTTAGTTATCTATCCTGTCTATAGTCTAGCTTGTTTCACTTTTTTACCTATAATGATGGTATCCCTATCTCTTTTTCTTGGCTACATAATCGCAAATAGCTTGTTGAAGGGAATTAGATAGGATATATGTCTGACTTAACTGATACTGCCACATTATAACCTCTGCTATTACTAATTGTGTATCTAATGCTAATAACTAAATTTATACTATCTAGTTGGCTGTTTTTACCCGCGGCCCGTCCCTCCTGACCTGAGAGGGAGGGCTGATTAGGTTACTATTATGATTATAGCTTGAGTAGTATATTAATATACTTCATCTGCTAACCTAAAATAGGAATTCATCCCTTCTATAATTAGGATGGAAGGCAGTCGCTCATGTAGTTATATAAAAGATATATAATAGGAGCGTTAGCTCTTAATTTATTAGTAAGCTTAGTTTAGTTATAACATAATTACTATATTATTTATAGTTTTATTAAAACTATTATCCTCATCTAGCTTATCCCTAGGAATTAAGGCCTTACCTAGGCTCTGTAGTAACTCTAAGCCTACCTTTCTATTTATTAACTTGCAGGCTGACAACCCGCAGAATCCCTTAGTTAATAAGTAAAAGCAGGCATTTCTCCTGTAAAACTACTACTAGAAGAAAAAATAAGCCTTAATTACAAGGCTGAAACCTTTAAAGCTATTAAAATCATCCTCATGTCTTATTCTTAGTGGAACCTTGAATTTATCACCTATATATCCTTAGGATGCCATCACAGAAGAGAATAAAGAGTTCCAGTCAGACTGTCTATAGGGCACTTTTAATTAGGTTATAAAAATATTAGAGATGTGGTCTTTGAAAGCATATCTAAGCTAGGGTTTTATAGATCCCTTTTCTGCCTTGGCTGTGCAAATATCTAACTTAATAAATCTATATTTTCATTATTGTATGAGCTGCTCATAGTTTAATGAGGAGATATACTAATAAGTCTAGTCTAGATTTATACTATTACCTCTTATTATCCCCTTGACTCCACCCGCATGAGTATTTAGTAGTGGTAGTAAGTAATCTCCTAGCTAGCTCTGCTCTAAGTGCTCCTCTTCCTTATAGTAGGCCACCATGCAACCCTTAAATCTAATAATAGAGTCACCTCTATAGCCTTTAAGAAATTAATTAAAGACTCCCTCTATCTTTATGGGAACACCCTTAAAACCCTGAATGATATCCTATAAGATCCTATAAAAGCTGTTGCAGAGTCCACCACCCTTATTATAGCATTGCTGGTGGCTATTGAGGCTATGGATGCCAACTTTGAGGCTGTACAAGCACATATGAAAGGTCTGAAGAGACTCATCCATCTCCTTGGCGGCCTCGACGCCCTGGACCACATGACCCTCTCAAAAATCTACCAGTACGTCCAGTTCCAATTCCCCATCGAGACGTAGAGACGGAAGTGACAGAACTTGTGCAGGAGCGATGTTAAAAGCGCAGCCCTCCAAAACTCCCATCCCACGTTTCCCATGTCCGCCCGCTGGCGCAGCGAGATTCTCCAGGAATTAACCCTCTTCCGCTCAACGGAACACCTTCACGTCTCCAAATCTCTCGAGGCACTGGGGAACCGCTTCTTCGCCGCACCGCGGTACACACCCTTAGACAACACCTTGAAGACTTTCGTCCAGATTCTGCGGCGCCTAATCATCTACTTCGAGACCGCGCAGCAGCAGCCCTCGATCGTCCTGCCGACGGACAACAACCTCTTCTTGGTGTTCGAGCACCAGCTCCTATCGACCGTGTATGAGACCGACACGACTCTGTTGCAGGAGTCACTGCGTTTGTCCCTGCTGATCTACCTGAACCTGCGGATCTGGCATTTTCAGGCCTTTCCGTTCATGCAGTTCATGGTCGACGCTTTGAGGAGGAGTCTGGTACCGGCATACGGACATGCCCAGTCCACCGCGCCGGATCTCCTCTTCTGGATCCTGTTCATCGGAGGGATGGCGTCGCAAGGCTATAAATGTTACCCCTGGTTCGTCAGCCGGCTAACGGAGATGGCGCGTCGTCTGGATTTGGTCGAATGGGAGAAAGCGAGGGAAACGCTAGGTGGGTTCTTCTATACCGATCAGCCGGGCGAGAGAGGCGCAGAGAATCTGTGGAACGAGGTGCTTCTGATGGAGAGTTGTAAGTGCTTCGAGGATCTTGATCGGAGCATGCGGCTAACGTTCGTCAGACCCGTACATCGCACCTAAACCGACGTTCCAGGTCCTCATGTTATGATGCTTTGAGAAGAGAGCCACTGGTTCGCTCGGAAGAGTTGCAGGACGACCGCATGGACAACATCAGCGTTCCCGTGGTGCGTAGCTTTGGGTTGCTGCTGAAACAACGTCAGAGGAGAGTGATCATGAGACAAAGCATGCAACAGACGAAGTCAAATACCGTGTCACCGGTTTTCTTCTTTTTTTCTGTTCTTCTTTTGCCCGCCTACCCACCCGGGGGCTCGAAGCCCCCCCAAAAGAAGAACACCGGCCACCATGGCCCAAAAAAAAGGAAAAAAAAAAAAAACAACGAAAAAACTATCTAAAATCTATCTAAAATAAAAATACAAAAATAAAACATACAAAAGTAAAAGCAAAATAAGCAAACGACTGGCAATTTGTATAAAAATAAAAAGAAAAAGGAGTGGACGGCTTACTCCCCGGCCTCTTCACTAGTTTGACCACTGGAGGGATCGTCGCCGGCACCGCTGCCCACGATGCCGGCCGCGTTGACTACTCCATTCATCTCGCCGACTCCCCTCCAGTGTCGGGCTGGCTCGTCTGCGGGGCTCCTGGGGTCGAAGTTGTCTGGCCGGGAGGTGCAGGCTCGCCACGGCCCCCATTACCGCTACCTGCGGTTTGATTTTCTTCATCGCCGGAGGTGGGCCTACTGCACGAGCATCCCGGCCATTTGAGGATTGACAGCACCCCGTCCTAAAGCAACTTCACCACTGCAGGCGGCGTCCACTTGAATGTGGCCATACTCAGTATGGCGGAGATCCAATCATGTGATCTTGCCTAGTAGATTGCTCCTTCCACTGTATGATAGTAAATATAGATTTACATACATAATAAATTAATAAAATATCTTTATATTCTGAACCTCTCTCTGCTTATTCTATAGGTTATGAGCCCGGAGCCTCTTAGAGAGCTCTAGGGAATTATTCTTAAGTTCTTTTCTTAAGCTATTTTACTACTTTTTACTTTTAAAAGCCTCTTTTAGCAAATATTCTGCCTAAAATATTTATCTAGGCTGGACATTCTACCTAAGACAGAAACTATCCTTTTATTACCTTAATTAACAGGGCCCTGTAAGGATTCTTATATTTAAGAATCCTTACAGGTGTAGAAGCCTAGTAGTTACCCTTAGATATATCTAAAACCTTATTCCCTTAAGGGATGTATCTAAAACCTTATCTCTTTTATTAAAATCTTCCTTTAAGATGCCTTAAGTAGATCTCCATAAGCTACTATTACTTATAGATATAGATTCCTATTAAATATAGTCTAAAGCTATAAAAATATATCTATATAGCTAGGGTATTTAGCAGACTATAAATAGAACTTATAAGAAGCTAAAGCTGCTAGAAGTAGGCTATTAGACTAGATTATTAGATAAAGCTAAGCTTACTAAGTAGTAAGAGAGAATTAAAAAGGCTATTTAAGATTAGGAGAAGATAGATAATAAGGCTTATAGAGCTATTTATTCTATCTTATCTTATACTATTAGATATAAAGTAATTAATTTAGAATTATCTAAAGCTATTTAGGACTATCTTAATAATAAATATAATATAATAGTAGATATATAGTCCTTTAAAGGGCTATAGATAGCTATTAATATAATATATAATAGCTATAATAGAGTCTAAGATTATATATTAAAACTATCTCAAGCACTTAATAAATTTAATTATAGCCTTAAGAAAGATAAGCAGCTTCCTAAATCTATTAAGATCTAATTCTTACTCTATAATCTTAATAAGATATAGAAGATATTCCTTATATCTTATCTTAATAGTTACTATGATAAGAGAACTGCTATATTTAATAATATTATATAGATTCTCATTCAGGAGGAGATGCATATGAAGTTTAATATATTATCTATAAATATTATAAAAGTATAGAAAGGGAAGAAGCTGGCTCAGAAGGATAGTAATTCTAAGGATAAATTAAACTAATTAAATTAGTCTAATTCTAATTCTAATTTAAATAACTAGAAAGATTCCAATAGCAAGGTTCCCTAGGAAACTAGGAAGAACTAGAAATATTATTATTATAGTAAAACAGGCTATAAGAAGCCTGACTACTAGGAATTAAATCTAGATAAGAAGCTAGACAGGAAGAATTTATCTAATTAATTAAATTAAACTAATTATTATAATTATGCTCATGTAATAGGCACTAATAATAATATACTAAATAACTAATAATTAACTACTATAATACTTAAAGAAATGATGCTTACCTTCTATACTATTAATAATAAAGATAATGGAGTCCTTCCCCCTACTAATAATAATTTAATTAATAATAATAGCATCCTTACCTCCTAATTAGTTAAATAAGATATTAAATACATATAGATAGTAATTATTACTATTAATCTAGCTCTATGCCTATATGCTAGCACTAGTAATTAGATAATTAACTCTAGAGCTACTAAACACTTTATTATAATACCTGTGAACTTTATAGATAGCTTAAGGAAGCCATATAAATAGGGAATTAAGATAGTAATAGGGTAAATTATATATTCTGATTTAATTAGGGATATTATCTTATATCTTACACATCTAGGTGGATATACTAGATATATTATTATTACTAATATTCTCTATATCCCTGAGGTAGTAGTCAATCTTTTAGGCACTATTAGATTAGGCTATAAGGGTCTAGAAGTTAATCTTCTACTAGATAGTATTATTATTACTTACCTATTAGATAAAATAATTATTAGATATAGAGATATCATCTAGAATACCTATATTCTTTATCTTATGGGAAGTAATGCCACTATTAAGACTAATAAGCTAGTTAAACTAACTAAGCTAGATATATTATTTAAGATATAGCTAATAGCATTCCCTTACTATCCTAAGAGAGGTAATAATTAACTATTCTCTTAGTAAGATTATATGCTATAAGAAGATTATAAGTAAGCTAAGTAAGAATTAGTAAAACCTTATTCTAATATTAAAACTTATATCTAGACTAGATAAGAGGTCCTGAGCAAGTAATACATACTTATTTTAGATCTACTATATAATAATTATGCTAATATTTATATATTAAAGAAAGATAAGGTTAATCTAATAACTTAGCACTATTATTTTATATATTTATTAATTCCTAATATCATTCATGTGTCCAAAATAGTCAACAGAATGGATATTAAGGGACTATTAATTCCTAAGTATACCTATAAATCTTATATAGTAGCTAATATAATAGTCTATAAGGGGCACATCACTATATCTCCTGTTAAGTAATATAGGGAATATATCTTTATTAATATTAATAGTAGCTATAATAATATACTAGATAACTACATCACTAGAGCTTGCTACTAGATAATTATTATAGATTAGTTTAATAGCTAGGTTACTATCTAATTACTTAAATATAGGCACTAAGTAATACCACTTATTAAGCTCTTTATTAAAGAAGAAGAGTATGCAGGTGTTAAGATATAAATTATTTATACTAATAATAGAGGAGAATTTATTAAGAAAGAGAATCAAGTATAGGCTAGAGCTAAATTAATTAAATAAGAACTTATAGCACTATATACTTATAGCTAGAATCTAGTTATAGAACATCTCATGCGCACTATTCTAATAAAGGTTTATACTATTATTAATAATAAAACTATTCTATATAAACTCTAGGGTGAAATTATAAAGGGAGTTATTCTAATTAAGAATATCTTACCTATTTAAGGTAAGAATATAACTCTATATAAAATATACTTTAGTAAATATCCAGATGTTAGCTCTCTACAGATCTTAGGTTTAGTTAGATATCTTACTATTACTAATAAAATTAAATCTAAGTAGGGTGTTATAAAGATTAATCTATATACTATTTACTACTATTTAGTTAGCTACACTAGCCTAGGCAAGTAATATATTATTTAGATATTAGTAACTAATAAAGTTAAATATACCTATAATATTATTTTTAAAGAAGGAAGTAATCCAGATCTCTATAGTAATCTAGATAATAATTATAGTAAATTTATTAATCTACTAGCTATTCCACCTACTAACCATAATCTAAATAAGGTTATTAGCAATGATAATTTAGATTAAGATATTATTAAAGGCCAGGATCTAACTATACCTAATCTACCTAGACTAGAGGACAGCATCCCTATACCATAAATATATATAGAGGTAGGTCCTAGCATTACTAAGGATATTAACTTCCTATATAGAGGCCTTTTTAGTAAGCTAGTAGAAGACCTTCTAGATTATTCCTAGCTAGAAGTAATTTAGCTTATAGAACAGGGGGTGTATTATATTAATACTAAGGTTATAGAGAAGTATATATAAAATTATATTATTATTAGGTATATATATATTAGTAATAATTATACTAATATTATTAAGCCTTCTTCCTTTTATAAGGTAATTAACTCTCCTGAAGTAGATAATTAGTAGAATACTATAAAAGTAGAAGTAGATAATCTTATTAAGTAAGGCACCTAGGTACTTAAGGTCCTATCTACTAGCTATAAGGCTATTAAGGGGTATTAGGTCTATAAGATTAAGATTAGCACTAATAATAAGATTATCTAATTTAAGGTAAGATAGGTCACTAAAGGCTATACCTAAATACCTAGAGTAGACTTTAACTAGATATTTTCCCCTACTATAAAGCTAGCTACTATCCACCTATTCTTCATGCTCATAGCTATCTTAGGCTATTATTATATTAAGGCAGATATCAAGCTTACTTTCCTACAGGGTAAATTCTTTAATAGTAAAGTTATCTATATAAAGCAGCTACTAGATTTTAATAATAAATCTAGCTATATATATAGACTATTACTTCCTTTATATAGATTAAAGTAATCTACACAGGCCTAGTATCTTATCTTCTATAGCAGAGTTACTAAGATTAGATTATAACTATCTAAGATTAATAAATACCTCTTCTTTAACACCTATAGCGTGCTCCTCATCTTATATATTAATAATATAGAGATTACCAGATCCTCTAAGCAGATCACTA